TGTCGAATTGGCATCCCCTGCCTGTCTTGGAAGGAACAGCCTCTAGGCCAACCACATCTCTGCCAGTTGCCTTTCCCAGTCTTCATTTATCCTGTCCTGAAGCGATGCAACTATTAATCTTGGTTGACATTTTCCAAAATACTAATTGAGAAGTAAGAGAGCAAACAATCCAGCCCTAAAGGTAAAATAACACTCCACTTAATGGCCTGCTTAATCATAACCAAGCCCAGGGATCCCTGGGGGAGGCAAAGAGAAAGAGGTAATAGATGACAGCAGGTGAGAACAACAACCCACTAATGAGGCTAGAAAGAGGGAAAGAAAAAATGGTTATACGTGTATTGGGGGACAGGTAGTGGCATGACTGCTAAGGAAAACTACCAACCATCATACATGAAGTTAGATGGGTTGTACACAAGGAGAAATTAGAAAGGATTCCTAGAGCTTATAAACATTTCTCTCCAAAACAAAGATATACTTCGAGATTTTCATTTTCGTTGCCATGTATGTTGAGAGCCAGGAAAGTCTGCAGAGTAATTAATTAATTAATTTTGAAGTTTAAGGAACATTGTCTTCAAATATCTTATCTTACTATGAAAAAATGTGTGCCTGCATTGTCTCATCTAACTTCAGCCATGGTGGTTTGAATAAGAGACAAAATGGATTATTCCCTATTTTTCTTCCTACATAACCTCACAAATTGGCTTAAGTTCCCTGATCTGCCCTGGTTTTTTAATTTGGGTATTTGGGGATTTTTAATTTGGTTTTAATACTATTAATTTTTACTTATTGTCGGGTTTTTCTATTGTTGTGAGCCGCCCCGAGTCCTACGGAAGAAGGGCGGCATATAAATCTGACAAAATAAACCTGACAAAATAAATAAATAAATAAGTTGACATTGACAAACCATATTGGGTCATCTTTAATTCTCAGCCTGTTTTTGCGTAATGGTTTATTCTTTTCACTCTGCATCTCTGCAATGATATATTATTAAATAAGTGAAAAATTTCCCCTCTTCAAACTTTCTATTCTACCTTTATGTAATCATATAAATCAAGAAAAGGGCTGCTATTTAAAATCTTTCCAGGAAAAAGGGATGTCTTTGCCCCATTTCTTAGTGGAATTATTGTAATAGCAGCAAAGGAAATCCACTATATATTTGCCCAGGGGACTTATATATCTGATATGTCCTAGGATTCTGTTCCCACATTATTTATTGCCAGAGCTGACTAAGATTGAGCCTGGCATTTGAAATGGATGCCAACACTGAATCCCAGGGAGCTCTGGCAGTAATTAAGTCTGTCTATATGTAACATTCATAGCTACTGTTTCCTTGCCTGGAAATTATGCCAGTGTGGTCAGCACAACATAACTTATCAGTGTTAAAGTTTAGTTCTCTCTCTATGTATAATTATATATCATTTTATAAAAGTTGTTTTAAAAGGGAAGATAAAAACTAGTACAAACTGAAAAATAAAGAGAAACAAAAATGCAAGAAAGAAAAAAGTAAAATAGAAAAGAAACAAGGTACAAAGAAGTAGCTTCTGATTTTCTTTACAGCAACTATAAGTACAATTATAAAATTATCTCTTACTTTATGATTACAACATAACTCTCTTATTTCTATAATTTATCCTGTTTAATCAAAACCATAAATCATAAAATCATTTTTTTTTCTGTTTTAGGCTTGTAAAGAGTTTCCAGTCAGTAATAAACATAGATATTGTCTTTTTCTCTAATCAAACAGGTAAATTTGGCCATCTCAGCAAGTTCCATCATCTTCACCAAGCATTCCTCCATTGTGGGTATTGCTAAATCTTTCCATCTTTGTGCATAGAATAATTTTGTTGCAGCTGTCATATACAAAACAAAGTTAATGCCTTTTTTTCAAACTATTTCTCCATCAATCTGCAAAAAAAATTCCTCTCTGGTCTCAATTGTACATTAATTTAGAATTTTAACAATCTAATACATGCCATCTGCTCTGACATTGTTGAAAAGATTGCTCTCTTTCACTTAATAATATATAATGTTTTACATTTTTCTAGTTACTTTAAAGCTAGAATGATTGCTATCGTCAGGAATTCTGTTTAAAAAGAGAAATGCAAATAGATGTTTACAGTTCTCTTTTTTCGGCTAAGCATGTCCAATTTTTTTTTTTTAGGTTGTGGGTTTGACTCCCTTTGTTATTGTACTCAAGCCAAGTGGAGTTGCAAGTTAGGCAGAAAATAACATTGGGAACCTCATAAACCAGATACTGTCAGGGTTCCAATAACACCCCCAATGAAAGAAGACTCCAAGCAAAAGATGGCTTCCAGGCCTAACAGATGCCTTGAGAATCTCCAAAAGAGGCACATCTAGATGCACATTTCATTAAGCCATGTTATGACTTGTTTGGGGCCAGTTTACTGGAATATCAATCAATTTCATTATGTTTTATAAGCTAACATGCATAGTTTAGTGTAATGTTTGAACCCCATAGTGATTTGTTAACAAATCATGGTTTAAGATGATTAATGAAGTAACAAAAGTAGCTCCTAAAACCCACATCTCTTTTTAAGTCATGTGGCTTAAAAATAATGTACAATATTGAATGGAGGCTTGTTCAACTTCAGAATGAAACAAGCAACCTGAACAAGCAATCTCATTTATTCCTGAGACAATGGAAAGGGGTGATTTCACACACTGTAAATATTTTATCAGATAATCTCATATGAGTAGCAATGCATTGTGCAGTAATATTGTTATAGTGGATATGAAACAAAGCTTTACATATGATTGCCAATTGTTATTAAATGCACTACATATAACTTTACTTGTAATGCTTTTTTTCTGCTTTGTAATTGAGAGGCATTAGATTCCTGTTTAAAAAGCATATAAACAGATTGGGAGTTTGCTTGTTTTCTGAATTCATTCAGGTTAGTCATTGACCTTTAGTACAATGCTGTGGGAGGGTCAAAGCTGAGCATCAAATAGCATGAGACCATCTCTAAAAATATGCCTATTACAAGGGACACTTGTAATAGGCACAACACAAAGGGCAGCTTTGAAAAGAGGCATGCATTCCTTTAATCACAGGTGTCTCCATACTGAAAGCGAGAGAAAGTAAATGGGTGATGGAGAAGGCAAGGCTTCTAATAGAGATGGGCTGATTTTTGACTGTCACAGAGAAGTGGGCAAAAGAAAAGAAAAGGGAGAACAAGTGGGAGCCACATGGACAGAGAAGGCAGAAAAATTAGGAGGCAACTGGCCAATGCAGAGAGACAAAGAAATAGTCAAACATAGAGATTCTTGGATTCTCATCTATGGATCATTAGTTCTTCTTAAACATCTAAGTACTCTTACAAAAACCAGAGTTGTACAATTTCCAATTATAATCTAGTTCAGTTTTAACAGTTTATCAACAGGCTGGTTAAGACTAGTTATCATACAAATCAAGAGTTTGTGATTTTAATACAATATACTTAACAGCAACAAAGGAAGAGAAAGGAACTTCTTTCAAGATTTTTTTAAAACAATGTTTTCTTTGACGAGGATGCCATCAGCAATGATCTTCAAGGGAATTATTGAGTATTTTCAGTAATTATTAATGAATAAATTCTGCCATAATACAGAATTTAGACATTTTCTTATGTTGAAATTGATTTTCCCCTCTCTAATCTTTAAAATCTGAGCTATGTGTACATTTTGGCATGGCCAACAAATACCTAATTCACTCAACACCTAGGATCTAGTAGTATAGAGAAATTAATGGAATCTCATACAGGAGAGAATTTAGAAAAGGGAATAGATGGGAACATTCAAGAATTACAGAGGTAAGAAATATTGTTATTTTCACGTATTTCTTTAAGCTTAAGGTAACCAGTCAGATTTTCATTTGAAACCCTTTTTCTCCATCCACGGTACATATAACATTCCTTTTCACCATCTACCTGAATATCTTTTCATAGCTTTCATGTAGGGGGGGAATAGAACCCTTTCCTACACATCAGTGGAAATAACCTACCCTACATTCTTCCAACAAATATATCTGCACATTCAACAACATCCTTTAGGAAGGGAGGGAGGGAGGGAGGGAGGGAAGGAAGGAAGGAAGGAAGGAAGGAAGGAAGGAAGGAAGGAAGGAAGGAAGGAAGGAAAGCTCCTTTCATTCAACTATATTGGAAACTTATTGTATTCTCTTTTAATACTGTTCTTTCAAGCATAATAAAACAGATAATAAAAATGTAATTCATTTTTTCCAGATATTCCATCTCACAGCAGCTTGGCAACCTATTAAAAATTTGTCTTCATTTTTTTTGGCAAGAGCCTTGTACCTTTTCATCTTTAATTTATGAGTGCAGCATTATAAGTGACATGTCTTATTGCACCAGACTCCTACATTATTTATCAGCCACTGATTGATAGCTCATGCCCACAACCCTCCATGCAATATGCTCATCTAGAGTTGGTGGGAGGAGGGAATAGGACAGGAAGCTTAAATGGCCAGCAGCTGGGGATATGCACAAGCAGGAAGCATCTGCTGCTCTTCCCCAGTTTAGGGCTCAGTTCTTCCCTCAGACATGGCATGTCAATTTATGGGATGGCTGTGTCATAGGTGGGAGGTTTTTTGTAGATCTTAAGGGCTCACTAGAAATTTCAAGTCCCCAGTTCAGTGGCAAGAATTGCTTTTTTTGAATATAACGAAAATTCAATCAGATTTGATGGCCAGGTTTGTTGGGGATGATGGAGAATGTGGCCTTACACATCTGGAAGATACACAATTAGAAAAGACTGCTGATCTCTTACATTGTGGGTTGGCTAAATACATCTTGGGGAGGATGAAACAGCCTTTAGATTAATCCTGAAGAGACACATGACTTAAACCAGGAAAGGAGAAGACATAGAGGGATTTTGTTCAACGGCTTTCCTTAACAAAGTAAACAGAACTTATAGTTCATTAAATAGAAACAGGAACCATATGTACATGTGTTCTATCAATCTAAGACAGCAACAGTGTCATATTCAAGAGACAGAAATTATATTCTTTATTTGGAAAAATTGCCTTAGTTAAAGCTGCACAAGAGGCATGATGATACGGAATACATGTGGATTGCTGCACATAAATAATTTTTAGTTTGATAAAATAAAATCCCACCACAATCTAGCATATAAAGAGAAAATGCACTGATATAAAAATTCCAAAAGTTATTGTAATATTATAAGATTACATTCCAGAGAACGTAGACAAAAGGTTTCATTAAGAGTAAACATAATAAAGAGCACATAGCAACCTCTGACTGAACTTCTGAGCCTCCAACTTCAGTGACATTTATAAGGAACCAAAGGTAGGCAATTTTACTCCTATTAAGTGATTTGCTATAGAGATGAAAAGAACAGAAAACTGGATTAAGCACTGACCTTCAACACCTTTTGGAAAGGCAGTTCTGGCATCAGTTTCAGTGAAGCTGCTTATGCATTGTGGTGCCTAAATTAAATTCTTTGGCCCTTCTGCTAAAGGGCAAAAAGAACTTTTCATTAAAACGGCAAATGATATTTGATACCAGATTCATACAGTATACCATCAAAGGACTGTCCACTATTATCACCTTTGAGTGTTTTCTCTAGAAATACTTCTGTAAAGAGAATTCTGAAGTTTCAGCCACCCATTTTACATAGATTTTTCAAAATATTTAAGAGGTGCTATGTGACATCTTCACAAAGTTTCTTCTAGGATGTGGATATGCTGATTTAGTGCATTTGATCAGGTGTGCAAATTGACTGATCCTTGCATTGATCTGTTACGTCTACATGGCAGACAGAAGGAGGTGCCGTAATTGGCTATGGAAATGCTTGCATTCAGCCATTCATACAAATGTTCTGCGCAGGCATGATTAAAGCCATAATTCCAGGATCACTGACTCAGTTCAAGCACATATGTCTGCATTCTATGAATCATAGTTATACATTCCATTACGCACCAAAGACTGTCATTTATGTTCTTAAAGCAATTCAAACAAATATTCCCTATGAGTAAGAAGAGTTGTGCTCTAAACTGAGCATTATGAAGATGAGTGAAGAAAAAATAAATAGTGTCATTCTTATTTTGGAAAATATTACCACAATGTACAGGTAGTCCTCAACTTACAACAATTCATTTAGTGACCATTCAAAGTTACATTTGCACTAAAAATGTGACTTAATACTGTTTTTCAACTTATGACCATTGCAGCATCCCCATGGTTACGTGATCAAAATTCAGACGCTTGGCAACTAACTCACATTTATGATGGTTGCAGTGTCCTGGGGTCGTGTGATCATCTTTTGCAGCCTTCTGACAAGTAAAGTTAATGAAAAAGCCAGATTCACTTAACAACCATATTACTAACTTAACAACTGCAGTGGTTCACTTAACAAATGTGGCAAGAAAGGTTGTAAAATGAGGCAAAATTCACTTAACAAATGTCTCAGCAACAAAAATTTGGGGTTCAATTGTGATTGTAAGTCGAGGATTACCTGTATTATACCTTAAGCCTAGGATACAGATGTCATAGTATATGCCTAACCAAATGAAGTAGAAAACACAGCATGCAACATGATGAGCCGAAAGAATCAACCTTCAGCTTGAATGTCATCTGTGTTTATTGTCCTTTGAACTTTTTCTTGGCTCATGTATTATTCTAATATATAGTTATAACTGTTATTGTAATTGTGAATATAGTTATTGAAAATACTATCATAAGCAAAAGATAAGCAATAATCCCTCTTCAAAAACAATCTAGCAAATGTCTGCATCAGAGTTTTCTATATGGCTTTGTGATATCTACAGATTCAAAATATTAAATAGAAGCCCATGTTCAGACCTACAGAGTCAGTCCTCGTTTAGCAACTGCACTGACAGTAACTTTATGATTTACTGAAAAAAAAATACTGTACTTTATAATTAATCTTCACATTTATGACTTTCAGGTCTGAAAGGCAAAGGAATGCTGAAGCTGAAGTCACTTAGTGACTGTTTCATGAAATGACTGGTTTGCTAAACAAGGACAACCTGTAAAACTCTAACAGAGAATCCCCTCCATCTTGCAATAATGCTTTCACTATGATCAAATAGCATGTTACTATGAAACCCCAGTATTTTCTCATACTCAGAATTCACTAATGATGATAATCTACCTCAGAGGTCTTCAAACTTGGCAGCTTTAAGACTTGTGGACTTCAGCTTCCAGAATTCTAAGAGTTGAAGTCCACAAGTCTTAAAACTGCCAAGTTTGGGGACCCCTGATCTACCTCATGGGGTTTTTAACAGTAGGGCTGCATATATTGCCATCTTTGCAACGGAATGCTTCATTGGTTGCAAGAAACACTAAAATAGCAAGAGGATGCAAAGATGATTATTTATGCAGTCATTTTTTCATTGTAAGAACAGATGGTTTGGAGCAAAGCCTTTTTACAATCCCAGGATTATAGGCAGCTCACAAACATGTGCAAGTCCTTCATGAAACCATGATGTTTTTATTAGGTGCTGAATAAGAAAGACTTCAGTTGAAGCGAAGGGCAAATTGCTCTTCCACTGAACTTGATTTCTGTAGGATTTAAAGTACACAGTGGAGCTCCTCTCCTGAGAAGGATCTCAGTTTCATGATTCTTAAATATTACTTCACAGGGATTACATGTGTAGACACAAACATTCTTTCTTTTACACACAACATCTACACATTACAGCAGAATTATGCATAATAGAAGAACTGGGTTTTGCTTAAAAAACTGTCAGCAGTTTTGGTGCTGACATCAAGCTGAGTCAAGACTGGAATGATTCTGTTTGGATCAGAGCAAAAGTACACTGCCAGTTTATAATCTGTTCCTGAATGCAGGAAGGGTATATCGCACACATAGGACTGCCAAGATTTGACAGCCAACAAGAAAGCAGCATGTAAAAGGGATTATATTATTACAAAATGTAACTTTCTCCTTTGGAATGCTGGTTCATGGGTTCCTCATTGACTTCTTTCAGATGCATACCAGCTTAGTATGTGGCATCGTTTCTTAAAGTCCCTTATTAAAATAGACAACCTCAATATCAGAATTCTTCTCTCTGATCAAATTCTGGACTTCTGGTTCCAGGCGATTCATCCGCATTGAACTGCAAAAGGAAATATTACACTGTTTATTTGAAAGTACACCTGCTATGGATGTGGCACCAATAACTTAGAGAATTATGGTTACTGAAGCATGTTTTAGAAAATTAGGGTTCTACAGACTTTGACAGACTTTATTTATTATGCCTTCTGGAGGTGTTGGATTACAGGTTCTATAATCTCCAATCAACATAGCCCTGTCAAAGGCATTAAGCTGGGAAAGCTGGTTGAACCATATATTCAACTTTGTGGCCTTTGGAAAGAAATAATTCTTTCTGTAAGAAAGGGTAAGAGGGCAAGTGAAATCAAAGTGTTCTACATTAGTCATCTGACTGCATTATTTCAAATATCATTCAATATCCATTTATTTAGTTCATAAACCAGATGGTCTGACCACAATGCAAGAAACAAAATAGGCAGGTTAAATATAAAACTGTATGACCACCCCACAGAAATGTGAAATTTGATATTCAGTATGGAATTGTCCATCAGAATGCATAAATGTTTAGTTTTTAAAAAAGCCCTTAAAGAAGATAACAGAACGTATGTATATTGGCTTGAAAGTATGAAATGTCAAAAACCAAAGGCTGCCACTGAGGAGAAAATGTGCTTTTTGCCTTCAACCTTCTCTAATTGACAGTGTTGTCTAATTGTCCCTCACTGCTTAGCAGATCCTTCCAGCCTAAGATATCAAGGAATGAATCTCGGATCTTCTCAATGCAAAGTTCTATTGCTGAGCTTTATAACCCAGTTCTCAAATTCTTTGGCACAATCTTTGGGGAAATACTCCAGAACACATTTTCCTGAGAAATATTGAGTAAACAAATATTATACCTAACTGAAAGCAACAATAACATGCAAAAATATGTAAGGGTATTTCTTACCTCTTCTGTGGGAAGAATGCACAGCAAAGAGGTGTGGCAAACACCAAACTACAGAAAGAAAGACAAGAATGGAAGAAGTACTTTTGGTTGCCATTTTGTCATTGTGTGCTTGACTCATGAGAAAAATAGCTATCATGCTCACCAGCTACTTGAGTATCATCAACCATAATTGTCTACCATATGTAATGGATATACATAAATCAATTTTCCAACATCTGATTAGAATGCTGAAGGGAAACAATACACATAACACAATCTTATATTGTAGTTCTCTTGCTTCCCAATCAATGTTTCCCTCTCATATCCAGTGCCTTTTCAGGCTCCAACCAACAACACTGTAACAATCTTCTAATTAGATTTTTAAGAGGACGGGCTGAATGTTAATCCTTGTTCAGTTTCCCTAATCAGTGCTGATTTGGTCTACAATTCCAAGGTCCAGTTATAATAGACAGCAGTGCAGGATAATGCGAATTGTTGTCCAGAATATGGATGGCACCACATTTTGGGAAGACTCCAGGTTCATCATCTAGTGGTGCTAGAGGATTGCACAAAGCTTTTGGACTGATGGTACAAGTTAGATAAATAACCAAGACCACCAAACAAAGATCATAATCTCCCCAAATGTTCACAAACATATGGGAACTCCCCTGCTAAATATTGGTGCAAGTCCTCATTAGTCAACAAGTCAAGTCACATTGTCCAGTATAGAAAATACAAAAGTCTTGGATCTCTGTTCCTGGACAATTCTAGGAGAAAGATATCACTTACGTCAGGCCCACAAGTCCAATCTGCAGAGGAGCATTCATCCAGGGGTATCGCTGATGGAAATAGAAAAGGAATTCTTTATACACAATATTCATATTGTTTTCCAAAGCAAAAATTCTTATTTATTTATAGTTTATAGAAGTGAAATGCTTTATGGAGCAATCATAGCTATACATGAGAGGATGACGGACCCTTTTTGAGCCTGATGCACAGAATATATAAGCAGAGGCAAAATGTTGTGTTGCCTTAATAACACAGTGCCTCAATTCAACAGATGTGTTGAAGTGCAGCAAGTGTATCTTCTGCCTTTGCCACAGCCATCCTTCTGGAATATCTTCAGTGTTACAAACATGTCATTCTTGGAAGTCAATATGCACTTCAGCAAAGCTCTCAACACTTGGTTTTTGAATAGGGTTAATCTGCTGCTACAAATATTTCTGTTTTTGTTGAAACCCAGAAACTGATTTAACATATTGAAAACCTGGATAATTTCCTTAGGTAGAAAAAGAGGGTGGGGGCAAAATCAGCAAAACTGCAGACCATCACAATACAAGTCCCACTTCTTTTGAGCATGTGTACAATGGTGATGCACATAGAAAGCCACATAAGGGGCTTGGATTACAATGTTTGTCTGCCATTGTGCTAATTTTGATACATATGAACATTCCCATGGAAGCTGCTGTCCTCAACGATAAATGTCTGGAATGGGAAAATGAATAACACAAACCTTAGAAGGACATCGAAGAGAAGCTGACAACACACTATATTAAGGTAGCAATGGTACTCAAACAGTGGTGGGTTGCTCCCAGTTCGGTCTGGTTCTATAGAACTGGTAGTAAAACCTGTGGGAGGCTCCGCCCACCTGTCCCAACATCATCATGGTTGATCTGCGCATGCACAGAAGCACGCACGCTCCCGTTGTGAACCAGTAATAAAGGTAAGTGGAACCCACCCCTGTACTCAAAGTGTTGCCTGAGGACCCCTAGAGTCTCCCATGACCCTCTTAGGAGTCCACAAAATCAAAATTATTTTTCTATCTATGTTAAAAACTAATACAATAATAAAATCCCATCAACAATCATGAGAAGTAGTGGCTGTTTCGCATATGGCAATTTTAATTTTTAATATAGTAAACAATATAACATACAAGTATACAAGCAAAAGCTCTTTTGGAGTCTTCCACAATTTTCAAAAATGGGAAGAGATTCTGAGAGGAAAAAAAAGTTTAATAAACACTAGAATATAAAAATCAGAAATATGAGGAAAAGTGCTACTATATATGGTTCCCAAAATTAATATCAGAGGACTAAAATGGGAGCAGAACTTTAGCAATCTTGCTAAATGTTAATTTCATGATGGCTTTTAATGCTAGAAGCTAAACATGAGATAGGACAGTTTCTTTTTATGTTAATCTTATATTTGCCATTTGCAAGAAAAGAAAAATCTGTTTCCTTTCAGGTTCCTGGGACTTTAACTTCTAGCCAGCATTAGTCACCAGTTCTAATTGTATTCCAATTGACACATCTGGAGAGGACCAAATTGGAGAAAGCTGGTTTAATTAAACTGTATATAATGTTCATGATCTTGATCCATCCCATCAACCCTGATTCCAGCATGACAACTGATGCATCTGAAAAGAAAAGTAAATTTCTTTTCTCTGTCTTGCAGCTGTCATTTTGCATAGGGTTGGGGTTAGGCAAAAGTTAGGATTAAACTTCCCTATTACCCTGTTTCCCCCAAAATAAGACATCCCCTGATAATAAGCCCAATCGGGCTTTTGAGCGCATGGCAATAAGGCCAAGCGCTTATTTCAGGGTTCAAAAAAATAGAAGACAGGATCTTATTTTCGGGGAAACACAATTAGAAGGGAACCTGACCAAAAAAAGGGAACCACATCCTTCTAGGCATAGTTATGGAGGAACGTGAACTTGATCAAGAACCAAAAAAATATCCATACCTTCATAAATGCTCTTTTCTCTAGGGCATTCATGATCACAGGAGGGATGGCTGTGGGGAAGAAGTGGAAGAAGAGTCAGATACCATAAAAATAATCTAGATGTCTCTTCAAGGAAGGGACAGAGAAAAACTGCATTTGTTGGGATACTTTTTCCCTAGAACCTTTTGCCCACCTTTAAGGTGCATTCCTCTTGGGATCTTTTGGACTACAATCCCATCAGTCTCAGCAATATAGTTAATAACTGAAGGTGATACATTCCAAACACCACTTATATATACTGAGATTTATGCTACAATAAATACTTCTCATATCTCTAGCTCTCCCAAATGCCTCAACTGGGAAGGACTGACATGTTTTCTCAGTAACATAATTCGTGATATTCTTCTCAACAAAAGCAAGTTCCACTGAATTAAGAAGTTTCAATAGCTAAATAAACATCTATTATATATTATATTATTGTGTCTTTCAAGCTCTATCTTCAGGGGTTATTTTAATTTTGCTTTGAAATTTGTCATTAAAAAAAAGATGGACAAAGAGGGAATATTCACTGACATTCAAATATTTGTCAAGGTAGCAACAACATACCCATTGCTGGTGCAGCCATGCCAATGCGTGAAATCACCACTTGCACAATAGCTTGCTGGGCTGCCTTCTTCGATTCACCCAGCCGATTTCCATGTTCATCCATAATGGGGATACCAAATTTTAGCTCCCTATAAAAATGGTTAAGAAGGAAGCATAAACTCTCTATTCTTCATTCTGTCTTTTCTCTGCATTTCATTATGTTGTTTTTTCCTCATCTGTTGTACAATACTGATGGTTATGGCAATACTATTCAATATTCTCCTCTATAGGTAAAGGTTCCCCTCGCACATATGTGCTAGTTGTTTCTGATTCTATTCTCCTCCATATAGGACCCCATATTATCAAGAAAAGCTTTTGAGGACTACTATAGAAGCCGGTCATTACAGCATTTGCTCCCACCCAATAGGCATTTGCATATTCCCAAAATTAAATCTATCCTCTATCTATCTAAATCTCTTGACCATATATATGCCCTCACCAGAATCCACCTGCAGTACTTTCACAGCCTATCAATGGCCCATAGGCTGTACATTGTAAACCTCTTGCCTATGAAATACAGGAAGTACTTAGTTGATTTTTTTAGATGCCCAGATGATTTTATTTTTGCAGGAAACAGCTGAGGAGAACTAACTAGTATAGACCTTAGCTGTCCCCAGTGCTAATTTCCAGTGGGATTCCAATGAAGGTAGATTAAATTTTTGTTCATTACTGCATCTGTATTTGGAAAGGAATAAATGGGAAGGGAAGAAAGTTGTGTGAAGGAAAGAGTTGAATGGAGGAACAGACTATTTCTATTTCAACATCCTATTCCTAGTTCAGAAAACTGACTCAGTTTACAATCAATATTAGCATACAAACCTTACATAACTATCAATCAAATCTTTATCATGGTCATGAACCTTACATGTTAGCTTGAAAATGTATTACAGGAGTTTGAATATATAATTACAGCTATACATACTCCATGCTTTTTAGTGTTATAAGATAAGATAGCCAATGTTAGAGGTGTTCAGAATATGCAACTTATAAGGAATTATCAGGAGTTGAACTTCCTGTAGCAGTTCTCTCATTACATTTCTATCCAACAAGCCATGCCATCTTACCTTTGTCTTGTTAATGGAATATTAATGCAGTTTGCAGCTGCCACAGCTGCAAAAGGCACATAGCGTCCAATGATTGAGGGCAAATGCTATCAAAAAGGGAGGGTTGAAATGAGAGAAGAAAGAGACTTGTGATACAGATTAAATTAATAACATGATGAACAGAATTATATTTTACAACAGGGTCACTGATGCAGTCAGGAATTGTCATCAATTCCTTTGAGAATTCACCATACAGGTATAATGAAATTTCAGAACTTTGTTTTTCTACTATATCAGATCCAGTGTATACTATTTTGTTCATGCATTTGGTTATGCAAAGCAACTCCCTGGCTCACTAGGCAAATTTTTCAGATAGGCCTCCAACTGATGAGAGAGCTCAGGCTTAAAACATAATAACAAAACAACCTCAACAGCTAGCTCTCTGCTCTTCTTTTGTTCTGTTTTGTTTTTCTTTTTGGGCTACTGTAAGAATTTGAGTCTCTTATCAGTTTGAGATATAATCTAAAACGATATTACAATGCACTTTGGAAATTTCTTGACCTTTATATACCGATGAAACACTTTTTGTATGTTTGCATTATTTCTTATTCCAGTATTTTCTTCTTGCAATTTTAATATCATTTTCTTTTTCTTTTGTCGTTTATATGCCAACCATTTCCTCCCTTTATCTTCACTTTGCATAATTCATCTTTATTTCCATCTCTCTCACTATTAACATAGATAATTGCCTCTGTAGAAGATTCATTTGGTGGATAATAGTTTTTTTTTTAATTTTGATTTATATGCCACCCTTCTCCAGAGACTCAGGGCGGCTTACAAGACATTAAGCAATAGCCTTCATACTTTTGTATATTTTATACAAAGTCAGCTTATTGCCCCCACAACCGGGTCCTCATTTTACCTACCTTAGAAAGGATGGAAGGCTGAGTCAACCTTGAGCTGGTGAGAATTGAACTTGCAGTAATTGCAGGCAGCTGGAAGCTAAATACTACCTTTTAACAGTAGCATTAGTCTGCTGCGCCACTCAGGCTCTTATAGTTATTGTCCTTAGGGATTTTTGAACATTATCTTTCCTTTTTTATCTCATTCAAAATCATTTGTATTTTCTCTTGCCTTTCCTTTTTACATTCACTACCATGTTTCCCTGAAAATATGACCCACTCTGAAAAGAAGCCCTATCATGTTTTTGAATGCATGTGCTAAAATGAAGCCCTAACTCCAAAATTAGCCCTAATTAAGACCCCGCCCAACCCAGAGTGCAGGGGGTGGGGAAAGGCACACAGGTAAAAATTAAGCTAGGGTGGGGATGGGGGTGGAGCTGCCCTACTTACTAGGCCTCGCACACCCCAGCACCTGCCTCACCTTGCAGGCCCACTTCTCCTGTGGCCACTTGCCGCTGCTCGCACGCATCACCCACAGCCACCATTTCACCATCAGAGCCAATAAACAAGGTCCGGTTTGATGTGTGCATTGCCCCCCACCCACCCGGTCTCCGTTTTGCTGTCAGTCTTCCAGAGAGCTCTCCGCAGCTGAGAAACGGCTTTGGACTGATGCGCGCAGCATCCCCTGGCTTCCATTTCACCTTCAGATGCCTACCAGAAAGCCCTCTGTAGGGGAGATGCGCCTGTCAATCTGGACCTCGTTTCTTGGCTGCAGAGGGCTTTCCGGAAGGCTCTGACAGCAAAATGGAGGCTGAGGGCAACGCATGCAACCAGTGGAAGTGGACGCAGAAGCCAGCCGGCAGTGGGCTCCTGCTGGGCGGTGCTGCAAGCGCCGTGGTGCCAAGGTGAGTCAATAATTAGACCCACACAAAAAGAAGCCCTAGCCATTTTTTGGGGGGGGGGTCAAAAGAAAATAAGACCCGGTCATATTTTCAGGAAAACACGGTATGATGTTGTATAAAATATCCTCTTACTTGTATTATGTTCTTACTTTTGTGCCTTTATTAAGATTATTTTCCACTTTATGAAGATTAATGGCCAAAGTCTTAGCGATCCAAATAATATCTATTCTTGAAAAAGATCTATGTCTTTCAGAAAAATAAGTACCATGTTTCCCCAAAAATAAGACCCTGTCTTATATTTTTTTGAACCCGGAAATAAGCGCTTGGCCTTATTGCCATGCGCTTAAAAGCCCAATTGGGCTTATTATCAGGGAATGTCTTATTTTGGGGGAAACAGGGTATAAGAGGAGGTAGAAACATTAATGGGAAAATTATTATTTTTTATATGCTAACAGGTGTTAAAAATCAGTTGAAGATGACAATGCTGACAAAAATATGAAAGTAGAAAAATCAAATAGAACTGATGCAGAAAACTTAACAAAAAAGTAAAATATTTGGGTATTATTATGATGAATATGAATTATATATTATTCCAAATAATTATGTTAAGAAATGAAATTAAATTAAAATATAAAAAGAAAATACTAAGATGGGAGAAATTAATAAAAATGGGTGTGTTGCCTAGAATTATATTTTAATTTCAGACAACAGCTATTTTGATAACTAATATGCCATTCAAGCAATGGCAAAACAATTCATTTAAATTGGTATGGCAAGGGAAAAAACTATGAGTTAAATATAAAGCATTCCAAGAATATATTTTTGTTGAAATTGGAAACAGATAGAACGGGTTAAAGAATGTATGATAAAGTATGTTAAGAATGTTGGTTTTAATAAACAGATGGATCAATGGAAAATAGGTGGCTGAAAGGGTTGAAATTTGCTTTATGTTGTGATCTTAAAAAGTCAATTTTGATAAAATGATACATTGTTGGTACATGATGCAAAACAAATTATCTAAATTGTATGAAGACATTTTATATGTATGTTGGGACTGTGAACAACATGAAGAGATATTTTATCATGCTTGATGGAATGTAAAAAAGCTAAGAAACGGATTGAAATGCATACATTTCAGAGGATACAGAGGATTTTAAACATTAATATTATATTGAAAACAGAACTTTTCCTTTTAGGATTGATTGACAAAACAGTTAGAAAAAAGACATTGGAGATCATTTTAATATATGATTACAGCAGAGAGGTTATTGTATGCAAAAAATGGAAAGATTTGTCATTACCCACCATTGAGGAATGATTGATGAAATTGAGAGAATTTGGTAAGAAAAAAATATTAGGACGTATAAGTTGCCGCAGGTTGACTATCACTGCTTTTCAATATAACTAAGCAGCTTTGTAAAATGTAAGCTGGTACAGCCTTGGCAAGCTCCCTTTTTACAACTCTCCATGGAACATCTGATTGCAACATTGGCAAACTTCTTGAAGGGGAAAATACTATCCTTCCAGAGGAACAGCTTCAGGAAAGTTTAAACTGGGCCAGATATGAGTTGGGGTAAAGTGAAAAAAATATTATGAAGAAATGGCAGAAAAAAAGCCATTGCTGGGATGTTTGTGGTCAACTGCAAATGAAGAAACGCCCTACAGTTGACTAAAATGCAGAATTGAACTGAAAGAAAGTTTTGTTTCCTGAAACCTTTGAAAAGAACTGGAAAGAATTACTAGAAAAGTCATTCTTTAAGAATCTGGCAAAGGAAAGCAGATGCGTATTTCTATCTAATTTTCTTAGGGATTTGGGGTGTTATCCTTTTGGATAAAAGAGATATGCAAGCACAAGAATTATTATATTAGGAACTTCTTAATATTTGTACATACAAATAGTAATACATTGAATCTACTATACTAGGATAGTAAGAGTAAAATTATCAGTCTGGCTTATTAATATGAAATAAAGAAGTCTCCATGAAATCCACAGGAATAGATTTTACCAATATCAAAATGTTCATGATAAACATGAATTCTCCCTGCTCCTGAAAGAGGCAGATCATGTCATAACCAAGGAAGGAGATAAAATCATTTCTGTAAGCGAAATTGCTTACAGATTGCTACTTCTTATTTCAGAGATGAGGAATTCTGTCTTCAGGATGGCTTGATCATTGGATCTCTTACCTTGGTGAGAGATTTGAGTCCTAATGCCGCCACCACAGCTCCAGTAGTAGCACTGACATAAGCGGTCCCCAACTGTCTGCAAAACAAGTAGACAACTTGGTGACACCAAGAAACTCTCAGCCCTCCTGTCTAACCTTAACTTTAACCCCAGTCCCATCCCAGAAATATGGCAGGGTGGATAGCAATTTTGCATATTTTTTTTTATTTTTTTTAAAACAAAACTTTATTAAACATATAAAAAGTAAAATGTTATACCATGTATATACAAAATACATATATTAATACAGACGAGAATACATTTAAAAAAGTGACTTTGGTCTCACGTCCATTATCTTATTAACGGTACATATTTGTTAATTATTATTATTGTACAGAATTTTACATTTACTCTCATTTCTACGAGTTATCCAATTATACCACCTATTCCACACTATATAAACTTTTGAGTCTACCTTATCCTTCATTTCAAATGTTAGTTTGTCCATTTCCGCACAATTATATTTTTTGCATATTTAAAGCAGCCTCTGGTTATCATAAGGCACATACGCCTCTGATCAGAAATACCAGTAGGCAAAATCAGTTTTTGAATTGTATTTGGCGCTAGTAGAAAATTAACAACCATGATGGTACCCTACATCTTTTTTTCATCAGGTTGCTTTTTCCATTTTTGAGGGCTTTAAGAGAAAAATGAATGACAAGTTTCTCAAAATCTTATCAAAATACAAAAATGCCAGACAAAAAATGCCAGTCGTGCCAATCAGTGGTCTCTGAGAACATAAAAATGAACCATGGCCTGCTAGGCCAAAAGAGGCTTGCCGCCCTTTATCAAATGGAACCATTCCTGTCACTAATTTGAGAGCTCCACTGGTTGCCAGTTGGCTTCCCGACACAATTCAAGCTGCAGGCTGTCACCTTTTAAAGCACTATATGGCCCAGGGACCCCTGGGACCACTTTCCTAATAATACCTGCCATGCAATAAGTTCTGATAAAGTAGGGTCCCTCTCAGTGGTGAAATCCAAATTTTTTTACTACCGGTTTGTGGGTGTGGCTTGGTGGGCGTGATATGGCTTGGTGGGTGTGGCTTGGTGGACATGGCAGGGGAAGGATACTGCAAAATCCCCATTTCCTCCCCACTCTGGGGCCAGCCAGAGGTGGTATTTGCCGGTTCTCCAAACTACTCAAAATTTCCACTACCGGTTCTCCGAACTGCTCAAAATTTCCGCTACCGGTTTTCCAGAACCTGTCAGAACCTGCTGGATTTCACCCCTGGTCCCTCTGAATCCCCAGATTTAGGGAGCATTACTCTCAGGATCATGGAAAAGACTGTCTTCAATTTCTGTCCCCTTCTGTAAAATAAAGAGTTCCCCAGAAATCCAAATAGCTCCTATTAAGTTTTAGAAAGACATTAAAACTTGTTAACTCCAGCAGTCTTTGTAACCTTGTTACAATTTTCTTCTAGCGCTGGATATATTTTCTCTCTCTTTTTGGCAATTGATATTCCTGGTACTTATATATGCTGATACATTTTATTTTATTTTATTATGTTATTCTCATGGTCTTAATCTGATTCATTATTTATTTATTTATTTATTTATTTATTTATTTATTTATTTATTTAATTTAAATTTGTATACCGCCCTTCTCCTGGTGGACTCAGGGCGGTGCACAGCCAAGTAAAAAACATCCAATACAAAATTTAAAAATTTAAAAGAATTATACCCTTTGGCCGAAAATTAAGAACCTTATGACTAAAACCCATTAAACAATTAAAAAATCTAATATCTCAAAAACGGGGGGGGGGGGTCACGCCATCTGGAATTAGAGAACAGCAGGATAGTTTTGCTATCCAGGTAAGCATTGAATCGTGAAAATGGTATTTCCTAGAAACTGCCACAGCCTGTTGCTGGTTTAGGGCCAGGCAACTCAAGACTATTGAATATAATTCTTGGAAGGGAAGTTGATCTTAATTTCCAGTTATTTTACTGCTTTCTTACTTGACAGTGATGGGTGCGTCTCCACTCCGGTTAGTATAATTGACAATGGCATTGAATGATTGGTTCACCCATTGCCAGAAAACCATGGCAGGGGCCGTCCTGCAGGAAAAGAGACAGTCAGGACTGCCAAAAGCTACAAGAAGCCAAGACAGAAAGCTATCAGAGAAATCAAAATGTCAAGTTAACCTTCAGTATCCTAGGAAAACTCTGCTTGTTTATCTCAGTGTAATACCCATTTATGCATACACTTCAAGAGGCCTGGCTGTGGTTTCACTTATTAACAAGTAAGTTGCAAACATTCTTAACACGTCCTTGCAAAAGTTTACATTTCTAAATGGCCTTATCTATCTGTCCACACACGTACACAAACATTAACATAAGCATTTGGCAGTCACATTCTTACGGATACTCCAATAGTTTTATGTACATGGTTTTCACTGAAGCCACTCAAGACTCTCCAGAACATGTGCTTGCATGCATGTATCCCTTTGCTAATTACATGCAATATTAAAATATTGCATGTAAATATTAAAATTTATTAATAATATTAATATTAAATATTAAAATGCGGTTGCATTTTATGTTATTTCATATGTTATATGTTACTTTTATGCATAAAGTATCAAATCTATATCTATCATGCTCACAGTTTTGCATAAAATACTATCACAGAAAACAAAATGACAATGGTATACTTTAACAGTTTACAGAATAAACTAGAGCTAAGGATAAAGATACATATATACACATAAAGTGTGTCATGCAGTTAAAACAAGGGTGTGGAAGCTTCAGATCTTAGGATCTGCTTTACTTAGAATTCCAAGACCTACTAATCAGAACTAGACAAAAAATAAGCACTTAGAATTAAACAGTTGTAATATCAGGAATTTGTTCTGCATATCAGCAATGATGGAGAAAGATGTTTTGGCTTGCATTTTCATGCAAACCTATTTACACCACACTTTTCAAATCAAAATCAAAATGCCTTTCTTCTTTGGAACCCTTTAAAGAAGAATTCACATCTTATATGCTGCTGGTACATATGCTGAAGAGCATATATATACTATCACATGCAAGTTTTTAAAAAGTCCATATAAAAAGTACAAATCTTTGAAAAATCTATGCTAAAATCCCTATAGTCAGTTCAACCTTTCATTTTAAACCAATTTATTATTTATTTATTTATTAGTCCAATTTATATGCCGCCCTTCTCCATAGATCAGGGCGGCTTACAATGCATTATAGCAATAGCCTGCATACTTTTTTGTATATACCTGCTTATCAGGGCTTTCACCCCGCCCCAAGTGGTGTTGTTCTATACAAAGTTGGCTTATTGCCCCCACAATCCGGGTCCTCAATTTACCTACCTCGAAAGGATGGAAGGCTGAGTCAACCTTGAGCCTGGTGAGATTCGAACTTGCACTAATTGCAGGCAACTGGCAGCTAAATGCTAGCACTTAACAGCACTTTAGTCCGCTGCACCACCGAGGCTCTTTCAATGGGAAACTGAACCAACCTGAAGTTGTTAGACATGGTCTTTACTGCTTTTTACACACTTCCAGCATTGAGGACCCTATTCTCCATTCCCTTCTAGAAACTGAAAGTCACATGCCCAGGTAGGGCTATGAATCCTAAGCATATATCCTGCAGGAGAGCAGCATCTTTTTCATTTAAGTCAGACATATGTGGCAGGGAGCTATTAAGGTCATCCCCTCCCCCCATATCGCTTTCTTGCCTTAAGTCATCTTGTCTGATACAATGCTGAAATTTAAGATGGAGAGATATCTATACTGTCTTCCCTCCCATGACTAATAGCATCTTGAGCAATCTATGGAACATAAATTTATAGCATATAGTCAAGTCTAAATACTCTCTTAACCCCAGGGATTGCTATTTTTTCATAAAGTAAAATAAAAGCTACTCACTCACTCACTCATCACATACATCTTTGGTCCTTAGTTATAGATTTCTTACTTCATACCTCTCTATATACTATTCCCACACAAGGTGCCAGAACTTTAGTAGGTACACACGTGCCTGTAGAAGGTGAGCATGCATCCTGTGATGGTCATGTTCATAGGCACCTGGGCAGACATACGTCCAACCAGGATCATCTTCTCACCAGTGTCTGGATGGAAGGCAGAGTCATAGATGTATTTTGCCCGCCATAATTGGTCCTCAGTCAAGCCTGGTTGTACTTTACCCATTCTGGAAAGGTCCACAAAAATGAAAGAAAAATGAAGATAGCACATAATGTGGTGGTTTTTGGAATAAATATTAATGGTAGAAGGAGGTGGAGATAGCTATAGGAACAGAGGAGCTATATTCCTAATTCCCAGAAACACTTAAAGGAAAAAGAATTTCAGAAAAGAAGAGCAAATTAGGGTTCTTTTCTGCTCTCTTCACACAGTTTCACTCTGACCTACAGTTCAATATACCCTAAGGTTGTGTTAGGATATATTTCTTTTTATGTTCCAAATCCTAATAATAAACTACATATCAAGAAGTGCAATGGTCTTGAGCTAACTAAAAGTCCCACCACCAAACTACCACCAAAAGAGTTCAATCAATCAAACAAACAAAAAAACGCCTTCCTTAGAACCTCAATAAGGGTCATTTTCCCAGCCCAGCTTCACCTGTATAAATTTTCTTCCCACTGCTTTCACTGAATGTACCCTATTTATCATAGATACCATACTGAATGTTGCAAACAATGGATAATGCTCAGAAGAATAATGGAAGACAAGGGAGAGAGAGAAGAAGGCTCTATTATCCCAGCATTTAGAAGAGAGGAGTGGAAAAGGAGGGTCACAGTTCTGTCAGATGTTTTAAACAACTTGGACCAAGTCATTAGGATTCCCTGCTGTCCTTATAACTGCTTCCCATCAACTCTCCAAAAGAACCTGTAATTCTGTATCACTCTTCGGGCATCTTCTAGGGCCTTGCTTGAAAGCAGAAGGTTGCGCGGATCTGTCACTGTGAAGAAATGCTTTGCTCTTCCCATGAAGGTGCTCTGATCCCATCGTGGCTCATTTATGTTGATGAGCAAAGACAGTTCTGCAGACATTCTGGGCAAGAAGACAAAGAAAGAAAGCAAAATAACCATATCACTGCACAATAGATATAGACACACAAGAGACTGACATATCCTCATTGGCACATCTCCGTTCAATTTACTTCCATTCTATCTTGTCCCCAACTAAGTTTTGGAGTTCAAGGGATTTGAAGATTCTCAAGAAAGATACAAAATATGCTGACTGTTTCTGCTTTGCTTTTGAGACACATTCCATTCTGGAAGAAATCGGCCCAAGTATCACAGTATTCTCTGGCATGGTTCACACCCCAGGCTAAATCAAATTGTGATTTGTGGGGCTTTGGCTCAGCCACTGTAGTTTGTAAACAATGGTTTTTGTCAGCCTATTGTCTATGGAGTTCTTCAATCATCCAGGTCATCAAAGTTGTCCCAAAAGTGCTTTTCAAAAAGCAACTGGGCTTTCTTGGGATTTTTTTCCTTGAAAAAATTTCACTTCTCATCCAAGAAACTTCTTTAGTTCTTACTGAAGAAGTTTCTTGGATGAGAAGTGAAACATTCTCAAAGTGGTGGGGGGACCCTTTCATAGTGACTTCACTTTCTACTCCTGCAAGGTACATATCGAAGTATTGCTGGACCACAGCAATATATCTCATCAATTGATGAAGAATATTTATGTTAATTATTTCATAGCCTTCAAAGGGAAACTAAAATAATGCTTTAATAGAGGTTATTTTTTATTTAAATTACTGAGGACAATAAGCTTGCATCAGCACTAGAGAAGGACTCCCTCCTATCATGATCACTGCACTTTCTAAGGAAACCTTGGTTGCTCTTTAAATCTCATTTTCCATATCCAATTTAATTCCTAGGCAATAAGAAAATCAACAATGATTCCATTTCCAAAGAAAAAGGTCAATCGCTGATATTCAAAGTTCTTTCTAAATGGAATAATCCTTTTGAACAAAAATCTGATTTGACAGAAAAAAAGAAAGGCTAATGGAATGCACTGTTAGAACTAATGCTCTGAGCAAATGCAAGGATCCAGAGTGAAACTAATAATATTTCATGGATTTCTGTTCTCAATTGTGAACAAAAAGGGTATCAACAACGAAATAAGAAATAGGCTGTAGTTGGGATAAGATATGACATTGGCTAAGTAAATTATCCCTCCTTTCTCAATAATGAATATTTTCTCCATGGTTTTCACACACAAGAGATCATTTCTATGACTGTTGTTGAGACTAAAGAAATTAAGGGAGAGAGAGAGAGAGAGAGTCAGGAAGAAATATTCAAGTGCATGATTTTTAGCCTAATTTTTTAATTAAAAAATCTGAATTATAAGAGCCTTGTATTTAAACTGTAGGGCACTGTTCAGAACCAAAAATAAGCTCCTGGGTTTTGCTATAACTTCTCCAGTCTTATTAGCAGGAATTTACCTTTATCTTCCATCTTCCTAAATAACATTTTAATTAAAATTGTCTGAGGATAGAGTAGGCAGCACTAGTCTTCAACTATTCCACGCCTACCTCTAGGTTAATGGATATTAATACTGTATGAGAATAGCGTACCAGATTGGTGTCATGATTAAGGCTTTGGGCTGGAAACCAGGAGACAGTGCGTTCTAGTCTCACCTTAGGCATGAAGCCAGATGGGTGACCTTGGGCGAGTCATACTTTTTTAGCCCTAGGAAGCAGGCAATGGCAAACCACTTCTGAAATCTTTCCAAGAAACCTGCAGAAACTAGTCCTGGCAATCGCCAGGTGTCAACAATGACTTGAAGGCCCTTCCCTACTTGAAGGCATGTGAAAGTGATAGATGTTGGAAAAGTGTTTGGCTAGATGAGGATCAATAAACAGAATGATTCTTAAGGAGATGAAATAGCTCACAAGTTCAGGAATATTTCTGGAGGAACATGCATTCCCTTTGAAGGAGCAAGTGACCATCTATGGAATTGTCTGGATTTGTCTGTCACCCAGGCCCAAGTGGTTTCAGTGACCCACAGTTTATTTGACCAGCTGCAACTGACTCATTGACTACGATGCCTTTGGTGAAGGGGTGAGCTAAACTGAGTAGTTCATTTCTGGCCTGTCACAGTATTGCAATGTGCATGGAACTGCCCTTGAAGGTGGCTTGGAACTCACAGCTAGAAACAGGGGTTTCTACAGATTTTATCAGAATGATGAAACAACATTACCATATTGTACTTCAAGTCCCCCAACTTTGAGATGCATATGAGATGCCACAAGTATGGGACTTGTGTTACAACCCCAAGATACTATGTTAATTTTTCAGACTCCCTTTTGTAACCTCTCCTCCATGCAGACACTTGCTGGCTAGAAATGTTAAAACACTGATCCTGAGGGAACTATCACTGGCTGCTATAAGGATCTACCATGAACTTTAAAATGTTATAATGTTCTTTAAGGAAGTATTTCTGCCAGCATGCACCTACTCAAACATTAATATCTGTGGATGATTGCTGCTCACTGCCTCAGAAGAATATTCTGGGAATATTCAGGAGAGTACCTTGTCTATTGTGTCCTTTCAGTTTTGGAGGCCAGACTGGGCCAATGCTTGCTTCTTGATGCCAAGTGAAGAGCTGGCTTTTCAGTCTCATGGGCTTACAATGAGGCAAAGGGGACATTGTGAATTAGACATATTCTTTGGTTCAGTTAGCAGAGAGTCTTCACACAAGGGATGAATCCTGTAACTATTGCTGTTTTAATCTTTAGCAGGGATTCCAATTCTTCATTTATTTTACTGTTTTATAATTTTGTATTGTAACTTGAACACACCTGAAATCCTTAATTTGTTTTTTTTCCCTTTCTTTTCTTTTTGTTAGCTTGTTTTTTCTTTGTATTTTGTATTTAACTTTGTAAATAAAATAAATGATGAAAAGAACATACCAGAAATCCTAAAATATCAAGCAACCAATGAACATTTAATAAATAAACATGTGAACCTATAATATGTATGCTTTGAGGAATTTACAGGAATATCTTATGATCTGTGGCTGCATGAGGGGCAGATGATGTCCAGCTAAAGCCTATTTCAATGTCATGCACAGCAATTTTCATCATTTTAATTGTTTTATTAATATACATTGGCTGTACATGACATTGTAACAAGCACTGAAATTTAAGCACTGAGCACAAATCAGTCCTTATAGAAGAATCAGAGAAAATTTCATATTCCAATTCAAACCCAGCTTGCAAATTAGCTTTTTTTAAAAAAATCATTGCCTCCTACATACCTACATAATCAATCATTTCAATCAAACAAACAGGTATAGCCCTACCACCCAGCTTGCTTGATCCTCATGGGACAGCAAAGTCATCCCCTGAGGTATCAACTTGAGATATTGGGGTTCAAGTCCCATTATGGCTAGCCACAGAACCCATAGCCATGCTGGACAGGGAAGTTGGGTAAGAGAAAGCGGGCGTGATGGGTACAGTCTTGGACGAGCGTAGGGCCATGCAAGCTGAAATCCCACTAAACTTTGACGGTCACAAAGCAAAATTAAGCCAATCAACTAAACCTTTCCGTTTCGCCTAACTCAGAGCGTCGGTGCGAGTACAAAATGGGGACGCAGCCAGCACAGAAGAGCAGAAATCCCTGTACCGTTGTGGGGGGCGAAGGAAAGAGCCTCTGTCAGGATCAGACCTCCTACCGACGTGATCGTACACGGCGCTAATCTGGGATGGATGGATGGATGGATGTAATTACGCCCCATCCCGGATTAGCCCGCGAAGAGCGCTCCTTCTCCACTCCCACGGGGACCGGTGGGCGCAGGCGGCCGATCTCCACCCAAAGCCCTGACTCAGAGGAAAGGACGGAAAATATCCGAAGAGGGAAAGCGAAACAGACGGTGGACAGCGCCCGCCAAGCTGTGTGCGAAAGGAGGAAGGGGCCGGACCCGCAAAGACGCCCGTTTAAGAAAAGCCAGGAGGGCAGAGACGACAAGCAAACGATGGGCTCTAAGGGAGGAGGCGCGCGACCTTTACGAGAACCCACTCACTTGCGTTCCCACGAGCGGCGGCTGCAACCCGATCGCCCAGGAGCGGCACTGAAACTACGGAGCGCCCCCCTCCCGAGACCAGCCCCTCCCTGCGGGCTTTCCTGGCTCCCACCGCAGCGGAGAGAGCCAATGGTCGCCGCGGAAGCCCATCGAAGGGGCCGGGCCGAGACAAGCACGTTACTTTGAGCTACGGGGCGAGGATTAAGAGCGGGGGGGCGGGAGGGGCTGCTGCCTGGAAGGGCGGAGGGGAGGGAAGCGGGAGGCCTCTCCCTGGCACGGCTCGGCAGAAATCGGATTAGGACGGGCTGGAGTGGAGAATGGGCGGGCCTGCAACCAGACTGCACCGCTTGTTGCTTTTATCCGGAGGGAAGGAGTGGGGGGCGGGGGCGTCGCCTGCTTTTACGCTCCTCCATCCTCTCTGCCTTCCTGAGACCAGCCGCGGAAGGCACCGGCCAAGCCTTGGGGAAGGGGGGGGCTTTCTTTCGCTGCAACCCCTCCGAAACGATCCGCACCCTGCAGGCGAAAGCTGTAGATTGCAAGATCTACAGTGTGGGTGCCAGGATCCAGCCTGGCGGAGACTTGATTATCAGTAGCTGGTTCATTCTCTGAAAAGGACCTTCTGAGGATGTGCAGAGTGCCTCCTTCTAGTAGTAACCGTTACTGCTGGAAGTGTCTTAACACAAGAGCGACTAGATCAGTTCTGGGAAAGCTATTGACAAATACAAAACGCCCCCCCCCCAAATTCCTCGGGCAGGTTGGGGGATTCTGACAAGCGGCTTCATTCTGGCTTTCTCCTTTTTTTTGTAAAACGAAGCGGGAGCATCTAAAACGCTGAGAATCTGTAGAATCAGGAGCCACACAGAAATCATAAGATCATCTAAGAAGCTTAGCCTTGAGTAATTTAAGTATCTTTTGAGGATACTGTGGAATAGAAGAACAAAGTGGAGATGATGCTCCTTTCAGATTGGGATATTGGTCGTGGGTAGTGTTGGTGAAATAGTTGTAATATTTGCTTTCCTCATATATCGCTTCAGTATTGTTCATCCCTGCTGTTTTCTTCAATATGAAATTTGGGGAATAATTCGGTTATGAAAATATGTTCAGCCAGATTAAATGTTTTGACAGGGGGGGAAAAAGGCTGAAATCCCATAAACACTTTCTGAACAGTGTTTTCTGAACCCTGTGAGACTTCTAATAAACAAATATAAGATTGTGTTGTTAATGTTACAGTACTTGAAAAGGTATGGGGTATTCCATGCTTTGCATTCTGTTTGATATCTTTAATATTTAATTTGAGTAAAATGATTCATTTTGTCCTAATTTATAACCTAATATGACTAAGACTAATATGACTAATATGTGCTGTCATTGTATTGAACCTTGTGATTATGGTATTTTTAATTTAAGCAATAGCAAATATAAAGATGTATTTGTCTTGATTACAAAAAAAATAGATGTTTGAAATGAAATACTTTGATATTTATTTCTTCAGGCAAGTTAAAAATTATTTACTTATTTATCTGATTGCTGCAGTTCAAACATCTTGTTTTGGGCTGCTCATGGAAAACATGCCTGTTGGTTTATCTAGTTGTGTAAGGCATAATTTAAAAAACCAGCATTAGTGCCCTTGCTGTGGTTACTATTAACTTGAAAGCCGGGCATGAGCATAGAAAGAAGGAGCAAAAACAACTCACAAAGTCCTGATGTGCTTCAGATTATACTGGTGGGGTGGTCCCAAGTTCTCCCCTCCCCCAGACCATCATCATTGGTATATTAATATCTTGCCTTGTCAGGTGGCAGGCTTGCCAGTTGAGAGGAATGCATGCAAGAATTGTGATCCGAGCAGTAGGACAATAACAGGTAAGTGTCTAATGAAAGGGGATTGAGAAGGGTGCTCTAAAGCTGTATCTACATCTGTTTATACAAATGCATGCAAGGATTCCAAAATAATTATGGTTATTCTTGGGGAAAGTCACTAGTTTTATTTTCAGGAGTGGCAAAAAGGGGTTTCAGTACAACTATACAGTTACCAGTGTTAATTTTCAGCTGTTTAGTTCATACATATGAACCACACACACACACAGATGCACACTTGTTTGGATAAAATATGAATAGACATGTATGAAAGATGAAATGCAGATGATTGTGTTTTGGAAGACTTTATACAATTGGTTGGAAAATACTAGAATGAAAATCATGAAGAATAACAGAATATCAGCGTTTGAAAGGACCTTGGATGTCTTCTAGTACAACTCCATTGCTCAGGCAGGAAACCCTATACCATTTCAGAAAAATGGTTGTCCAATCTTTTCTTTAAAACTTCCAATGTTGGAGCATCCACAACTTCTGGAGGCAAGTCATTCCTCCGATTAATTGTTCTAACTGTCAGGAAATTTCTTCTTAGTTTTAGGTTCCACCCATTGCTTCTTGTCCTGCCGTCAGGTGCTTTGGAGAATAGCTTGACTCCCTCTTTATGGCAGCCCCTGAAATATTGGAACACTGCTATCATGTCGCCCCATCTTTCCATTAAACTAGATATGCCCAATTCAAGCAACAGTTCTTATATGTTTTAGCCTCTAGTCCCCTAATCATCTTTGATGCTCTTCTCTGTACTCTTTCTAGAATCTCAACATTTTTTTCACAAGATTCAACAAGAGAAGGTAGACATGTTAACTTGATGAAGGGAGGATACTCAAGTGACAAAATACCAAAAGGCATGTAAAGAGTTCCAAGCTGGGATTGGCTTTATTAAAAGTTATAAAACTGGCTGAGAACTGGTGTGGTTTGGAGCCATTACATAAAAGATGGAAACATGCATGGCAGATTCCCACCTCAACCTGCCTGAAATCCAGACCTAACCTGGCCTGCAAAACAACTTTCAGTGGTGTAGGTATGTGTGGTTGTGTGGACCTGTGTCAGTGAATGTCTAGTTCCCAAACAGTAATAATCTGCATTTGTTTCTACGTATTTTGAGTCTCTGGAGAAATAACCAATAATTCTGAGGTAATAATAAGGGCCATTTCCAACCTTCCTTAAGAGAGCAAGGTGATTTAAGATTATTGGTCATTTTAATTATTTTGCAGAGCTTTTTTTTTCTTATTTAGTCCTATTCCCTCTATTTATCAGTCCCTATAGCACTCCTATCCAGCTGTACACAGTCCTTGTGTACCATACCTTTCATTTTTTTTGTCCTAGGTGAACTTGCTGTGGAGTTTACTTCCTTGTATATAAACTGTAAATGAGAAAAATACATATAACAAAAGAGTATGAATGGGAATGGAATCAGATTAGAGTTGACTGTGGTACATGAGAAAGGCAGTGAAGGCAGGCAGAGACAATCCATGGGAGAAAGTGCCATTTTCACTGCTAAAATATAATGCCCTCCAACTGTTTGTGTTCCTGCAGCTCTAATTCTTTTTACGAGTGTAATTTTACAGCATTTGAAAAGAATACATATACATACATATACACGCATGCTGAGACACACACATACACACCCCTAATTGTTGGGATCAGATCAGGAAAAAGTGAAATAAAACAGCATTTTCACAACCACATTAATTGAAATTAAGCTTGGAATGGGGTTTGATGGCAGAAGCAACTGTAGTTTAAATCACATACAGTACCTAGATACATTGTAGAATGAAGCCCTGGTCAAGAGAACTTGATGCTTAGGCAATAATATTCTTTGCTGATGAAGAAATATATTTTCTTTGGAAATGTATATTAAGTAACATGAGGGACAAATTATTTTTATCCTTATGTACACAAGCACCGTGAGGGAATTTAAGTTGCACAGCAGGAGGAATAGGCAAATGGAAAGTGCCTGGTGACTTTGGAGGCAAACAAGACAGACACCAGAAACCAGACAGTTGTTTTCTTAGTATGAGGGAAGTCAAAAATGACTACAATAAAGGACATTGTTTATGTTAAATGTTGCTGGCATCCATAGAAAGGGTGGGCTTGATGTCTCCTTAGAAGACAAGTGTGTAGAGGCCGCTGGTCAGCACATAGTAAGCACCCCATGTTGGTATCAGATTCCTGCTGTAAAGGTCATGCTATAATTTAGACTGCTTTTGTAATTCTTATGTATTGTTCCAGAGGGTATAGGGCTTGTCTGCGTTCCCAGTGATTGCTGTAGATGTGCGTGGCAATAAAAGAGACTTTGTGCATCTGTCTCCATACTTCCTCATTCCTTACTTAAGTGGGCAACTTCCCACAACAGTTGTATATAAAACAAACTTGGGTTAAGTAGAGATTGAAGGATATATTTGCATGTCACATCATGGGGTTATTTCACTTAAATAGCTGGGATGGGACAGGAGAGGGTCTGTAATGGTTTAAGGCTTTCTCCTCTTCCTGTTTCAGTGAAGTTTGTTTTGGAATGGAAGCTGTAATTGTAGAAGAAGCTTAATTCTGATTAAATATATTCAAACAATTCAAATGCTTTATTTAGAAATTATTTTGTATTAACATTCTATAAACATTATAAAATACTAGAGCCCAAGTTGTAGGTTGTACTTAGACTTCATTGTTTTAATTTAATGGAAAAAAAGAAAAGAATTTAAAACTTTCAGATACTGATTTGGGCTGCTCAAAGATGCTTCAGACACAATTTCTGGGGATACTGAATGTACATTTTGGCCATTGGCTTGTTTTTGTAATTCATAGGTATTCAGCTCCTGCTAGTTTCCCCATAGCATAAATATCCATCTGCAACAAATGCAGAAATGGTAGCACAAAAATCTGCCATTTATGCTTGGAAGTTTATAGATGGGCACTGAGTCAGCACCAATCAAATATCTATTGAATGACCAATGTATATTATACTGTATGTTTTATATGTACATTAAACTATATATACATAAGGTAAGGACTCCTTAAAGTCAGACTTCATGCTTGGTGAATATGAAGGCACATTCATGTTATTTTCTTGGTGACTATTCAGTAAACATTTGCAATGGACTTCTAGTTGTAATTTTATTCCTTCCCAGTCTATCCTTAAACCTCTGGATTTCCTGATGGTCTGTCATCCAAATAGTAATCCCCCAAGACTTTATTTAGTTGGTTTTTTTAGATCAGCCAAGGTCAGCAAGTTACTAATTTTTAAGCTAGGAAACCAACATGCATAACATGTGATAAAAAGCACAGTGTTTTGTATTATATTTGTTTGGTATAAGGAGGCACAGGTAATCCTCGAGTTACAACTGCAATTAAGCCGCCCATTATGATCATAAACAGGATAGTCATAAATTGGGTCACCTATATGACCAACCTGATTTTACAAACTTTTTTATGGCAGTCATTAATTGAATGCCATGGTCATAAAACAAACCCATTGTTCATGATGGGCCAGATTTGCTGAAAACAACTAAATGCCAGGTTTTAGCAAAACTGTCATAAAAAGTAACTGTAGGATGCTGAAAACAGCTGTAAAGATCAGCCTGTTGAAGAGCACCTGGACTGTGGTCATGTGACCACAAGTAGGACTGTTGAAACTGAGTCATAAATATCCCCAGGCAGGTCCATGATAACTCTAAATGGTTGCTAAGTAACCAGTCATAAACTGAGGATTATGGTACTTGTATAGTTATGCTAAATCTTCTGATTTGTTTGTCACTCCAGTCATACTTTTGGAAACTGAGGTCTACATTGCCACCTTGCAACCATCCACCAAAGAAACCCTGTTTAGTCATGGCATCCACAGCAGCATTCAGTTCTCTGCTGTCCCTGCTCTATCTGGCGTTGCTAACATTTGTGGGCAGTGCTGTGCTCCTTGCTGAGATGCATCACCAGAGCTTGCCAAGCCTCACAGTACATGCTTTTCTGGCATTGCTCATGAGTTCTTCCTGTCTCTGGATGCTCTGGTTTGGCTGGCACTCCATGAACTACAAGCAGCTGAAAATGCACCAGGATCACCAAGCAGGAGCAACCTGGCTTAAAGGTAGAGATGCTACAAAAAGTATTTGCAAACAATTAATTCCTAGTTCTCCCAAATTTCAAAGGCTAGTCTTGAATTCTCTTGTCCTTCCAACTTTAGTCATTTTGGTTAATGGAAAATTAGAGAAATAAATTATTTCCAGTTGACATTGAGTTTTCTGTATGGCTCTGAGCCAGTCATTTCCAATCAAACCCACTTCATAGGGTTATTACTACAGGGATAAAACTAGTAAAGGATAAAACCGTAAGCTGCTTTCTGCCCTTGCAGAAATTAGAGGATATAGATGCATGAATGAAATAAACAATCATAAAACTGCAGAAATGACATTGGGCTCTCCATGTCTTTCAGAGACAACCCCAAAATTGTTCTGAACTATAAGGTATAAGCTTTCTATCAGTTCTCTCTCTCTCTCTCTCTCTCTCTCTCTCTCTCTCTCTCTCTCTCTCTCTCTCTCTCTCTCTCTCTCTCTCTCTCTCTCTCTCTCTCATCTCTCCATCTATCATATAACTGTCACCTATTATCACTTAACAACTGTGGCAAGAAAGGTCATAAAATGAGGCAAAATTCATTTAAATGTTTTAGCAATAGAAATGCTGGGCTCAATTATGGTTGTAAATAGAGGACTAATTGCAAATGTTGGGAGGAAGATTGCATGTGATTTCAGGTGTTTTCCTTCTTAAGTCCAATCACCCGCCCTAAGCTCAGCCTGTATAGGTGTCACCTAAGTTGGTAGCTTTTTTAAAAAACCCAGTAATTCTTTAGGCAGCAATTTAGTAGGAATGTCTGTGGTGGTAAAAGGCAGCTCTTGGATTGGATCAGTAGAGCCCTCCAGCCGAACTCTTTCAATTTCAATATGAAAGGCTTGCTGTGGGGTATCAGATCCATGCATTTCTTGGCCTGGCTGTGCTTTCTTTCAATTGCAGGTGGTCTGTCCCTCTTTGCATTGGCCACATTGGTTTTGGATTGCCTCTCCATGGGCTATTACCATGAACTGCAGCACTGTATTCCCATGCTAATCACTGCTTTCCCTGTTATGCAAGCTGTCTTTACCATCACCCAGGTGAGTGAGCTTTGATCCAGGTATTGGGTGGGTAAGCACAGAAAGCCTAATTAAAACATTCTTCATTCTCAGTTATATTTTGCAATGTCTATTTTGTTTTGCATTTGCCTAATTCCATCTTTTGCATCACACTGAAAGTCCCACTGCATTCTTCTCCCCTGTGATTTTGTTAGGGTAAAAGGGCTTTTGCTATTACATATGATGAAAGTGAGTTTCAGTGACGTTGGAAAGTTTTAAAAATATGAATTTGGGAAGGGGAAGCAATTTTCAGGGAGTCACCACTGAAGACGAATCTCTAACTTACACTTGACACAACTTTGCTTGTAGTTTATGTAAAGATACACATTCTATAGCCCAGGAATTGCATGTAATTCCCAGCTGCCGCCCCACCTCAAGTTGTGGTCCTCAAAGTTGTCTAAACTGGACACAGCCAAATACTCAACATTTTTGTTTTGAGGAGATTTGGGAATGAGATTAGATTAGATTAGATTAGATTAGATGAATAGAATAGAATAGAATAGAATAGAATAGAATAGAATAGAATAGAATAGAATAGAATAGAATAGATTGTCTTGGTGCATACGCTCTCAGTGTATATAAAAGATACATTTGTCAAGAATCATAAGGTACAACACTTAATGATAGTCATAGGGAAACAGTCAATATAAATCTGAAGGATATCAGCAACAAGGTTACAGTCATATACTCATAAGTGGGAGGAGATGGGTGATAGGAATGATGAGAAGATTAATAGTAATGCAGACTTAGCAACTAGTTTGACAGTGTTGAGGGAATTATTTGTTTAGCAGAGTGATGCATTTGGGGAAAAATGTTCTTGGGTCTAGTTGTTCTGATGCTCTATAGCATCATTTTGAGGGTAGGAGTTGAAACAGTTTATGTCCAGGATGTGAGGGGTCTATAAATATTTTCACAGCCCTCTTTTTGACTCGTGCAGTATACAGGTCCTCAATGGATGGCAGGTTGGTAATAATTGTTTTTTTCTGCAGTTCTATTTATCCTCTGAAGTCTGTGTCTGTGTTGTTGGGTTGCAGAACCAAACCAGACAGTTATAGAGGTGCAGATGATAGACTCAATAATTCTTCTGTAGAACTGTATTAAAGGGCAAAATAGGCAAATCAAGGTTTGTGGAGGCTTAAGGTGTACATAGGATTGCTCAAGCCTCTCAAAACAAATTAAGATGGGTTTTTCTTTTTGGTGGCTAAGGGGCAAATTGAGAAAATTAAACTTAGAAAGCCAATTTAGTGTAGCAGTTAAGGCACCAGGTTAGAAATCAGGAGACCTTGGGTTCTAGCATGTTAAGCATAAAGCCAGCCAGGTGTCTTCAAGCCAGCCACTCTCTCTCAGCCGAGGAAGACAATAAACCACTTCTGAAAAATATTGACATAAAAACTGCATGGTCTTGAAGACACAAAAGGAGAGCAACTATTAGTTGCAAACAAAAGGCAACTTCAAGCCTAAATAAAAAGAGATGATATCTAGGAAGACAAATCAGTTGTCCTCTCCCCATATGCTGTAATATTCATTTAATTCCAATCTTCTTCATGGCAGTTAAGGTTGAAAAAAGATTGGCCATATATCCACCTTCTAAAGTTAAAGGCAAATGGTAATCTGTCTTTAATTCTCTGTTGCTTTCTTCCAGGTGTCTTTGCTATTATTTAATGCTAAAGTTCGTATTCAGGCTCACCAACCTTTGAACAGGTAAAACTTTTCTTCTAAGTAATACAAATGAAGGTGATCTGATGAGCTTTCTGGAGAACTCATGCAAACACAATATTAATCCTTCAAAATAGAGTACAGTGTGATAATTTAAATAAACGAGGCTTGAGAGATCTTGGTCTGATTGTAAGCCAGAATTATGTTGAAGTGTTGAACTCCAATGATTTCATATTTATCCATTCCTTTCTTCCCACCCACCCTCCAACTTATTTCTTTCTGTGGTCCCTAGGTTTGGACTGATGCACACACTGGCTACCAATGTGCTCCTATGGATGAGTGCGGTGCTGGATGAATCGATGAAACAACTTGAGGAATTTTATGATGCTCACAAGGGAACAAGTACACAGGCTTTCCATGGTACAAAACTTGCCTCTTGATTAGGGAGGACATCCTGAAAGAGCACTAATCAATGAGTGACTGAAATAGAATTGAGCCATGATGAAATCCTGGGAAAGTGGGGAGGGGGAGAGAGGTTACAGCAGTTGCCACCCTATTATTGCTTCTTGCACCACAAGAAAGAAGCCATTGTGAGACTCATCCAAAATTTCCTCCTGATTCAGAATAGACAGAAAGAAATTGGGATTATATATCATGGAGTGACATCACTTAATTTTAATTATCATATGCTGCTCTCCAATTCCAGCTGCTCACTGCCTTTTGTGTTCCCATGTTTCTGTGGTCATTCCTCAACACCCTATTTCATCTGATTTCTGTTTATTATCCTTTACGCACATGCACATATCATGCAGTGGTGAAATGCAAACTTTTTTGCTACCAGTTCTGTGGGCATTGCTTGTTGGTGGGGGTCATGTCACTGGGTGGGCATGGCCAACTCTTTTTTTTAACTTTTTAAAGCATTTTTTACTACCTATTCGCCCGAACCGGTAGTAAAAATGCTTTAAAAAAGTAAAAAAAAGGCTCTGACAATTGAGTGACAATCAGCTGTGCCACATGATCGTCGGAACCTTTTTAAAAACTTTTTAAAGCATTTTTTTTACTACCGGTTTGTGCAAACTGGTAGCATTTCACCCCTGATCTCATGTCATCATGCTGTCCATTGTTGTGTTGCACTTCTGAATGAAGGCTGTGTCCTTCAAAACTGAACATATTTGACTTGATTCCAGTTTTGCAGCTGCAGTTGAATTACAGATCTTGCACCCACAACATTTATTCTGAATAGGGTAAAGTTTTCACAAGGAAGTTTGATTAGATAAAGAAAGCAAGAAAGTGGGATGAAGAAATTGTTTCTTCTGGTTGGGACAGGCACACGTTTCCTTTTTGTTCTATTACAATTAAACACTCCAGTGAGCATGTTTTTCATGGTGTCTCTGTAGGTGGTTCCTACACCAACAGCTGCAGCTGTACAACCAGTCTTTGCCAGAACTTCTCAGAAGGTGCTGCCTATCTACATCCCTTCAATATTGAGTTCAGTCTATTCTCTTCTGCAATGCTGTACATCATTTGGAAGAACACTGGGCGGGAAGTCTCTCCCCAGAAATCCCATCTCACTCATAAGGCACATTTTAACATGAGTGGGACTTTCACTGGACTAGTATTAGGGGCCTTGACCATTTCAGCAACCATTGGAATAATGATCTCATTTGGAGTACTTGCCAAGACTCCTGAAACAATTTCCAGAGCTCTGCATACATACTACATTTTCAACTCTGTGTTGTTATTTGCCATGTTTTTGGCAACTTTGATGGGCATCATTACCTATTGGATGAAGAAAAAATCTGCCACTGGATATTCTAAGAGTGTGGTAAGAAGGTTAGATGTGACCTTGCTTTTGGGAAGCTCTTGTGGACCCCTCATGATATCAATCTTCTCTTTGGTTGCCATATTTTTTATTCATGCCAATGGTAGCCTCCATCTTCTGGATTTCTGCTTCTCCTTCTGTAAGACTATCCAGATCTTAGGTCAGAATCTGTTTATTACTGAAGCCTTGTACTCTAGTCTCTCTCATGAACCAAATGCAGAAGACAACACTGGCTGTATTAGTAATAGCTGGGTCTTTTCCATTTCTGGAGGTCCCCAACAGGACATTAATGGACCTTTCTCCAAAGGCCTCTTCCTGACCAACTTCATATCCAGTTTGGAGAATCAGTCATCAAGAAACCTACCAGATTATGGAAGTGACCAGTCTCTTTTCCAGAGTTCCCACATCAGAGGAGAACAGAGGGGACCCAGTACCAGGAGGAAGATTTTACAAAATATTTCAATTCTCCTTATCTTTTATAACATATCGGTGAGCTTGGTTTTAGTTATGTCATATCTAGCAATGTTCCTATATCAAATTGGAACTGGAATTCTAGACTGGGGCAGCCTCTTAAGGAGTCCAAGATATATAGAACACTAGAATAGCCTCTTCTTGATGTCATTTTGAGAATATAATTGATCCGTTTCACAGTGGCAGGTCTTAGCTCAGGCCTAGTGAAGCCATGTGCTCTGTGGAGATAAGAATAGCTCCAATTAATTGGGCCAGGCATTGTACACCAGCATGGAGAGATGCCATTTTTGAATGGTTAATTTATGAACAGTTATTAAATTACAACTATCAGCACATCCACTATTGAAATAAATTAGAAGCATTTCATAAATAAGATTAACTATTAAAAGAGAAAAGGAAAGACACAAAAAATATATTAAATGCCAGATCATGCTTAATGCTTACAAATATGGGTCAGAATTAGAAGCATATCAAAACCTTCAATAAATTCTTCTGAACAAAGTAGAAGAGTTATTTGGTATCTAAATGTTCTATGTTCTTGTTTTCCATCAAATTAATTCTCCTTAATTCTCTATGATCTGAATAAGTGAAAACTATTGCCAAATCCCACAATTTGGCATCAGATTTTCATATTCTAAGTTAAGCTTGTCGTGATTATGTAATAGCTTTATGATGGGTTTCCAAGGCTGGAACTGACTCATCAGTGGGGCTTTCTCACCACAGAGGAAGGGAAAATGATGGAGGGCAGGGGACGGCTGGGGGGAGAAAGGCAGCCAGTGGATTTTTAAAATGTGTTACTTTTATGGAGATAATTAGACATTTTCAATTAAATATCATCTGCAGGAGATCATTTTAGCTAAGTTTGTGAAAACTGAAGAGGTTAAGACAGTTGGAATTTTGCTTTCTTTATAGTTTTTTCCCTACTAGTGAGTTTTTACAAGTAATTCTTGGTGGCTGTGATCATAAAAAGCCAATTTGCTATATTGGTCTAGTAACCAGGAGACTGTGAGTTCTACTCCCACCGTAGACATAAAAACTTTGGGCCAATTGCTTTCTCTCAGCCCAGCTTACCCCACGGTATTATTGTTTTGGGGAAAGTAGGATGAGGAAGATGGATGCCCACCACCTTGAGTGATTTATAAAGTAATAAAGGTGGGATAAAAGTCAAATAAAAAAATGAACAAAGACAAGATAGGCAGCATATAAATCAAATAAATAAATTACCAACCGAGTCAGTCCTAACACCATAATTTGTAGCCTATGTTGCTACACTGAGATTGAGCATCTTGTTAAAACGGTGCCTTGGATTCCAAAACAAAGTATTTCATTGCAGTTTCAGAGTAATCTTTCCATGTAATGTTAAGCTTTCAAACAACAGATGAAAGAACCTATATAGAAGATTGTTGTGGAAATGTGGCATTTTCAGTGATGAAATTTGGATTAAGAGAAAATAAAAAGAACTTGTTCATTAATGAAAAGTACCACAATCTTCCAGAAACTTTATCAATTTAGAACAAAAGACAGATTCCCATCACCCTTTCAGGATGACTCTTCTAAAAATATTGTCTGGAGAAAAATAACTATTCTTTCCATGTGTCAAGGTTCCAAGTAACACCCCCAACGAAAGAAGACTCTGTGCCTAGAAGTTCCTCAAAGTTCCATTTTATTAGAGATGTCATATTGGCACATCTGGGAAAACCCAAATCTGAAAGCTTCCAGGTTTTCCCCACCCAACAGAAAGTCCAAGTCCCTGCCCAGCACCCACAAGTCCATCACATGGTCCAATCACAGTACCACCCAAACTGGAGAGGCCTCCCAGTTCCAGCCCTCCAGGTGCAGGGCAAGATGTCCTTGACACTCTGAGAAAAGAATGTTATGACTACATATCACCCATGCTGCATACAATCCCCCTCCCAGTTTCCCACAGTAGGAAATGTGGCAGGCCTGAAGGCCAAATGCAAAAGATGGCTTCCAGGCCTGACACCATGATCATGAGGTGTACATTATGTAAGTGCATGAATTAATATATAACAGCATTCAAATATCTCCACCAATTTTCTTTTTTGAACATATCTATTTTATATAAGTTTACTTAATATAGCAAACTGCTGGCCCCAATAAGGTAGACCAGCTAGAATAACAATCTAGCAAGTTTGAATGTACCGGTACTTCTTCCTCCCTTTCTGTTAACAGGAAGGGTCTTTTTAGAGACATTTTCTCAAGTTATTTTCTTGGCTCTGGCTCAAGGCTTGCTTCTCTGATCATTGCCTTGGTAGCAGCTCTTCCTCCTGATCTTCAAGGCCATTCCCTATGTATCCTCCACAAACTTCAACCGTGCCACAGTCAAAATTACTCTGAGTTGCTTACATACTGTAGTATAGGTAAGACAAATATGAAAACATCCAGAATCACTGAAGACCAATCACAGTTACAACTATAGCATTAACCCCATACAAAAATAAATTCCCCTCCAAAAATAACAAAAATAAATGTGTGAAATTAAAAAGTGATAAGACAAAAAAGAACACACAACAAAATGTTATCAAATATAAACATAAGAAAAAGTCCTCAGAAATAATTCCATTTTTAACAATAATCACAATTACTTGGCCTTGTGACCAGCCTGTCCTACCTTAATAATCATTTTGTTAGATTTTATAGAATCATTGTCTTTAGAAGCGATCTACTAAGGTGGTAGCAGGGTAGGGTAGAATAATAAAAGTGGGATGGCAGCGTCATGATACAAAGCCTGCCTCTTTCTACCTACTTTGCGATGTTGCATGGCCACGTAAAAGGGGTAGAGCTGTTAGCTTCAAAGATTTCTATTTCTATCTTAAAATATGAGGGACCTTGACCTGATGAATGCCTATGCAAAGAACTTTGAGTTTTGCTTTACTAACCTGTCTCCTTTTCTTTGGCTAGATGTGGATTCTGTATACCTATGGAACACGCCCATACCTTGTGAGCCAGATTGAACAGTCTTTCTATGGCTTTACTCTCTGGGCCATTGTGGTCAATATTTCCCTGCCATTGGGCATATTTTATCGCATGCATTCAGTGGCCAGTCTCTTTGAAGTCTACTGCAAGACCTGCTGAGAGAGAGCATACCAGCTTTGAGAATAATAAATGCCTAAATTACCTTATGAGGATGATACTAAAAGTGGATATGTGAAGGAAAATAGCTATTATTTATCTGATCATGCCCTGTAAATCAAACACATCATAATTCCTCTTACCTATACATATATAATAGTATATTACTATCATCAACACCATCAGCATATAATTTATGGAGATAGATTATCAGATATATTTTCTGGAGAAACCAAAACTAAATCAATTGACCCAAAATGACTCATAAACCATTTTTCATAAGTCTCTGTATAATCAGATGGGAAGTCCAGACACAAATTGGTTCCAAATAAATACTTGAAGAAAAAAATATTAGAATTGATGACCTTTTCTGTACAAGGGGTTAGAAAGATGTTCAACTACAGAGTCCCTCTTCAAAAGCTTGTAATCTAAGAAAATTACAAAATATCCCTAGGTATTCCTAATGACAGAAATCATGGGGTAAATAGTATGAGGAATTTCTAAAGGAACTGAATTTAAAGAAAAGTTTGCTCTGAATTATAAAGTGATTATCTCTCTATTATTACTCTCTAGTCAGACTGGTGTCAAAGAAGAGACATTGATAAATATTTGGCTGTCAAAGTATTAGGAACAGACTGTTCTCTCATAGCTGAATCTGAAAATTGGGATAACTGAAGCAAGTGGAACTTACAACTATTCAGTTGGCTTCTTAACTGAATGTACTTATTCTACCATCCTCAGTTAAGTTCCACCTGATAATTCCACCTTTCCCATTTAATTGCAAGACAAATTCCGGGAAAAGTCTAATTTCTTTCTGCATCCCCTATGTTCCACCTGATAAAAACCATCTTTCCCATTTAGCTGCATATGCTTTACGGACCTTAATATAGAAGGAACAAAAAGGTGTTAATTATTTTAATAAATTTATATGTTTTAATGACTTTGTTACACCAATGTGTCACTTGCTAAAACATAATCACATTTTAATCTTTTGTAATTAACCCCTTTGCTAATGAAAGTATAAATATAATACATAAATCATCAAAGTGCTCAAGATTCATATAGCACTTCCAGTAAGATTTAATAGTATCTTTTAAAAAATCTAGCAATTAATAAGCAAAATCTATTTTTCATATTAAAACATAAGCATCAGTTCAAAACTTTAAAAACAATATTTTGATGATTGGTTTCAATTTCTATAGATATTCAGGTTACTACCTAAAGTGCTCCTATTTTTCTCTGTTAAATTCCCAATCCCATATTTTACTCCTCCACTGAGTTGTTTTTTTTCTACCAACAACTAATGCAATGAGGAAATACTGTGAATAATTGACAGATAGTCTAACCTATGAGGGCCTTTGTTCCTAGTTGGAGTAACCAATCCATGTGATGTAGTGGGAGGTACCTGTTGCAAACGCTAGTTCTGCAGGTATTGGTGTGTTTTTCCCAAGTAAGGAAGTTTGCTGAGCAACGTGGAAACAGGTAAGGCATTTTTAAAGGGTTAGATTAGACATTTTAAGGGTCTATCTTTACCTTTCTGTCTCTTAATTATTTTCAAATTCTTTTTGTGTTAAGTAAGGATGAACTGTAGTTTTAACAAGACAACAAGTTTAAAAAAAAAAGGCTTACCTGAACAAGGTAGAGCATAATTTAATCCAAGTGGTTTAGAGGTTCTGTCCAAGGTCCTGAAAATTCTTGCTCCTCTCGAGCAACAGGAGCAGAATAGAGTATTCTTGGAAAAATATCTAATAGTGGCCTTGTATTAGATGTAACGTGCTCCGTATCTCGTCTTCTCCCATAGTTGTCTGTAAGTTCCCCACCCTTGTGCTGTGTCTCTAATGGAAGGATGAAATCACTTATTTATTAGGGTCAGGTCACTGAGCAAGCAGGCTGTTTCCAGATAATGTGCAAGCAAAGAGGCTGTTGTGGAGGAAGGGGAGGGGAATGGGCCTAGTATATCATTCATGCTGAAGAGCCTGGAAAATCCCTTCTCTCTTTCCTATGTGAGATTACGTATCAGAAGGGAGAACTCTCCTGGTTCTTAGACATAACAATGCCCTCAATTCTGCTGTCTATAAGCAAAATGCATGTATTATTGAGAGTACAATAGAGCTTGTAATTAATGAAAAGAAAATGTTACATATTAAGAGCAAAATATTTTGCTGTGATATGTTTACATTCTGGTTCAAGTTCTAAGCAAGTGTTGCTTAATGATATGGGACGCTAGATGTTTCAGAGATTGCAACAGAGTCAAATAGAAGAACTGAATGAGTTTTAAATTCAAATCCAGCTTGATGTCCAGCTATGAAATAATCTTTCAGTGTAACTTAAAGTGACATTTTGATGAGGTTCTCACTGTTTACTGTTTAATATCTATTTGTCTCTACCTGTACTTCACACTACCTGCACTTCACATCTTCCTGTTTTGAGAACTGTTTATGCCTGCCATAAGATGTGTGAAAGTGCCTGTTTTAGTTATTCCTGTTTGAAAGTGCCTGTTTTAGTTATTCCTACTCATTTAATTTATAATAAGTGGGGAACAAAGTGGTACATGTTTAAGTATAAGAAAGTATAAACCTACAAACAAAAATGATTTCCTGATTTCTAGTCTCTGATTATTTTCTGAAAAATAATATCAGAATAAATTTTAAAAGAATTGTTTTTCTTGTCATTCAAACATTTAAATTTGCACTGATCTCAGTCACTTACTATAGAAATGTCAGGGTAGTCTGATGTAATCATGAACAAATGAAATAATTTATGTCTAGAATTATGTTCTGGTCTCAATATGAATATGAAACTATGGAAGCTTATCAGATTTGCTTGAAATTTCCAAGCCATATACCTAATGCTACATTCATAAAGTAAACAGGTATACTAGACTTTCATTTCCCAACCTGACAGATGTGTATGTGCTGCAACTTTTGGAATCTTGGATAATTCCTGCCCAACACATTTGGAGAATACCAGATTGTGTAAAGTTGCGCTCTGTTTAACTTCTTCATCGGACTGTGATCTTGGAAAGGAAAGAATCTGACCCCATCTTCCTTTCAGTTTTAAGTTTAATTATTTTTTTCTGAATCAGTTTTATTCATTACTCTCTGCTTTTTGTTCTACATATAAATTCCTTGCTACACAATAATTTTGCTACTTTGAAATTGTCCATTCATCATGTTGATTTCCAGTAATATGTCTGCTTCTAAGTCTTAAGAGCATAAAATGATGCATCCACCATATTACTCCAAATAGCAAATGATTTAGGAATGCTGACTATGCATTAGACTCTTTTTTACTTTATGGTAACTGCTTTTCACATAACACTCAGCTGAGGGTTACTGAATTTGGTCTGCAAAATCAGTTCAGCCTTCTGTCTCTATCAACTATCATCTGGATTTTTACAACAGGATCTGATAGCCCTGTATAATCTGATGAATGAATCAATTTTCTGGATTTGGACAATATTTCATACAAGGAATCAAATGAATTGAGTTTCTACAACATGCTAAACCAAGAAACCAAACTAAAACCAAGTTTAAAATAACAAAGTTTACATTTTGTAGAACTGCTAGGACATTTTAACTATTTTAACCAGAACTATATAACGCATTGGGCGAATACAGCCATTATGTCTTACTCCCTAAGTCATATTCAGTGGTTTAATATTTGACTCACACATTTTAATTCGTAGAAGATTTTCTCAACACTGAAAATGACAAAAAGTTTTATTCTCTCCTAAAAGTTTAAAAAAGCTGAAGGATGACTTGTTGACTAGGCTTCCAAAATGGCACAAAATGAAGTTATTTTAGCCTACAAACAGATTTATTTTCCTGATTCCAACCAATGTAATCATATTTTCTCACAATTCATACCCAACATGGTTCAGTGTAATTTCTTCCAAGTTCTCCCTGTAGATAGATTTCCAATCTCATTCTGAAATTTTTGAAGTAGAGCAGTATATAAATGTTTGTGTGTGTATGCATATACATGTATGTATGTATGTATGTTTAATTACATATTTGTTGTTAATATAGCACAATTGTATGGAATTAAGAGCAAATCACAATCAAGCCCTCTGAGAAGCAAGATGTTTTATCTAAATCCTCCATTTTAAAGATAAGAACATTTTCTATATTTTTTGTATTTTGTATTTGTATTTTCATACAATTTTCCTCAGCAAAATGAATTCTCGTGCTTAATAGCAAGATCCATTGGAATATGCTCAACAACTTTTTCCTCTGAAGAAAACAACCAAAGGGGCCAAAATCTAACTCTGTGAGCCTTCATGAGGAAAACAGACTCTTCCATCACCCAAAACAAGGCGTGCTTCTCCAAAAGATCTGTAGAATCAGATGGCTTGAAAGTCTCTTCATGAGCAACCAAAGTCTGATCTTGCCATGGCTAATGTTTCTGATTCCTTCCCAAAGGAGTTTTTTTATCCTGCTCATTCTCAGGACTCTAGCAGTGACATCAGCACAGCTAACCTGCTCTTGCTGAGCAGGCAGAATCGTCTTATGAATGGGACTAATCCAAACTTCCACCCATCATCGCCTATGGGAAGAGTTATTCTTATCAACACACCACTAGAAGGTACTTTTGGGGTGAACAGGGGAGACCACAGTACACAAATGACATTTCTCATATCTGAAGCTCTGATTTCTGATGTAGTTTATGAATGTTCAGCAAAGATGAAAATCACATTTGCAGATATTATTAGCAGCTTGTCTTCAAAGTTTAGTATCCTTTTGAATGAATGAATGAATGAATGAATGAATGAATGAATGAATGGGCTGGAAGGGACCTTGGAGGTCTTCTAGCCCAGCCCCCTGCTCAAGCAGGAGAACCTATGCTATTTCATTTCTAGTCTCTTCTTAAAAACATCCAGTCATGGTTTTAATGGACAACATGAAAAGTTCTGCCAGTTATGCATTTGTGTAACATAGATAACCTTTATCCACAAATACATATCACTTGTATATTGATAGACTTCTACTCTACTTTCCTATGTACACATATCACTGGGATAATAAAGAAATATGGTTTAAAGATTTCATTCCAGTAATCAAGCATGACCATCTTCTAAATATTGTGGTGAATTTTAATATATGGCCTTCCACAACTATCTACACCCATCCATGCTGGACTATGAATTTTGTCAGTCCAAGACTCCAAGCTTACAGGTTCAACAGATGCACTAAGTATTATCATCCTACACATCTAAAATGTTCTTGGGGAGAAAATTTGATCTAATAGAAAATTTAAAAATATGTATGAAGGGACAACTGCTAAGTCTCCCTATATACTGTAGTAATCAAGGAATGGCTCAAGACCAACTTTACAGAGAGAAAGAGAGAGAGAGAGAGAGAGAGAGAGAGAGAGAGAGAGAGATGATGATAGCTAGCTAGCTAGCTAGACAGACAGACAGACAAATATACAGATACAGATATAATTATATGTAGTTATAAAGACAGATATATAATTATAGATATATAGACAGTGTCAGTGCTTCGACGCTGGCATAGAGAGCAGAGGAGAGAGAGAGATAAGCTCTGAACTTTTGCCTGCTAAATCCCTTTGAAGTCGGGTTGTCGTGGAAATGAAGGGGGGAGACATTCCTGGGAAATGACGAGACAAGAAGTCTGAAGAATGACTTGGAAGATAGCCAATGAGAAGCAGAGATTTGGGGATCGGAAAGGGAGGGATTGGGGGGCAAAAGGTCAGTCTTGTCCGCATCGAGTCATGATCTGGTGGCTGTGCTCAATTAAAGAAAAGATTTCCTTAAAGATTGGCAGTTTGGAAATTCATTTATTTTGAGATAGCATCGAAGTCTGACAGACAGATATAGATGAGGTAGAGATAGAGATAATAGATGAGAGAGAGATGAGAGAGAGAGAGAGACAAATAGATAACCAGTTTGGTCTAGTGGTTAAAGCACCAGGCTAGAATGTTCTATAAATTCAGGTCCCACTTTAGCCATGAAAGCAGCTGGTGGACTTTGGGTCAGTCACTCTCTCTCTCAGCCCAACTCAACTCACAGGGTTATTGTTGGGGGGCTGGAGACAGAAGTGTTGGATATGTTCACCTTCTGGAGTATTTATAAAAATAATACAAGTGGTAATAAATGGATAGAAGCAGGATTTTCTCTTTTTTTCCCTCTAAATTGAATGAGGTATTGTTGTAATTGTAAAACTATTTCAGGATTTAGACCAATTTTTTGTGTCTTACCTCAAAACAAAATCTATAGTACTCATGAGGGGGGTTGATCTTATTCAGCAGCCATGGAGTCTTGCTTATTCACTTTTTAAGTAATTTGTCTGAAATTTATAACACAGTCTGTGGCCTTTGGCTCCAGCCTATTTCACTATTATTCTTAAAACTGGTATGTCATTTTGAAAAAAGGCTAATCTGCACATAGTTCAGAAAGATGTCTAAACATTGCTCCTGATTTTCTGTCTATGGAGTTAAGATTGTGTTTTGGATGCAGGATTAAGCATCCACTGGGCATGCCAGCATATTGAGCTTTTTTGAAGCTATACCTTCATTACTACAGTATTTTGTTTTATATTCCCTTCACAGCTAACAGTGATGAGAGTGATGTTATCAATGCCATTACAGTGGAGAAGAGCAAAGACGGGAAGCTGGGTTTCAGTGTGCGTGGGGGCTCTGAACATGGCCTGGGTATTTTTGTCAGCAAAGTGGAGGAGGGCAGCAGTGCAGGTCAGTAAAAAGGCTTCCATGTTCCCAGGCAACAATCTGCTTATAAATTATTAATACAAATATATATTCTGGGTTCAATGCTAGTCGCTTCTACTCCAGTACATGTGTCTGGATATTGTAATCAAAATGAAAAATAATGTCGCTGAAAGGTCACTCATCAGATATTTTCTTTTGTACAGTATATCATATTGCTAAATCTGACATTTTAGAATGTTTGTAGTGATGTTCTGGAAAATATGATAATATGTCAGGATTCACATGCTTATGACTATCATGAACAATCAACATTTTGATAATGTAAAGAAAAAACATTTATTTCAAAATACTTGAAAAAACCTACAGTTTGACTATATTTATATAAGAGATAACCCAAAAAAGTAATATTTGGGTAACATACTATGTGCCCTGCAATATACTATATATGAATGGATAATAATTCAAAGTTCTAATCTATTTTGATGTTAATAAGTTGCTGTAGTTTGTCTCTTTGTTGTTTTAGTAGTTCTTTAATTTTAGTAAGCACAGAAAAAGACAATCAATGATGCTGAGCATTCTCTGCTTAATATAAACAGAACAGGCTGGACTTTGTGTTGGAGATAAAATCACAGAGGTGAATAGTGTGAGCTTGGAGAACATTACAATGGGAAGTGCCATCAAGGTCCTGACAGGGAATAACAGGCTGCGAATGGTTGTGAGACGTATGGGCAAAGTGCCAGGGATAAAGTTTTCCAAAGAAAAGACTACATGGTAAGTTGAACTGTCATTGCCAATTTATACCCATTGTTTTCAACCATGGATAACCCCAAAATCACAATTGTACTGACTCAGACAAACATACTGGCTTCAGAAGAGCAGTGACCAAGGGATCAGGTTTCCTAAGATGCAGGGAAATGCTATTAAAGTGAACTGTGATAGGGAACCAGAGAGGGAAAGGTCAAAAGGATGTGAGGTTACTGGGTTAAACTTCCTCTTCCAAAATGAATTACTTTAAAACTATGGTTAAAGGGGAGCTTTATTTGTGTAATGTGAAGGTAGGATATGAAGATTATATACCTGTAAGAGCTGCGGTGGTGTAGTGGTTAGAATGCAGTACTGCAGGCTATTTCTGCTGGCTGCCTGCAATTCGGCAGTTCAAATCTCACCAGGCTCAAGGTTGACTCAGCCTTCCATCCTTCCGAGATCAACAAAATGAGGACCCAGATTGTTGGGGGCAATATGCTGACTCTGTAAACCACTTAGAGAGGGCTGTAAAGCACTGTAAAACAGTATATAAGTCTAAGTTATAGGAGCCTGAGTGGCACAGCAGACTAATGCTACTGTTAAAGGTAGTATTTAGCTTCCAGCTGCCTGCAATTACTGCGAGTTCAATTCTCACCAGGCTCAAGGTTGACTCAGCCTTCCATCCTTTCTAAGGTAGGTAAAATGAGGACCCGGTTGTGCGGGCAATAAGCTGACTGTGTATAAAATATACAAAAGTATGAAGGCTATTGCTTAATGCCTTGTAAAACGTCCTGAGTCTCCGGAGAAGGGCGGCATATAAATCAAAATTTTAAAAAAAGTGCTATTGCTATATATGGGGTAGCGGACAACCACCTAATTTAATAAAAGGAAAAAGGGAAACTGATGAAAGAGGATAAATCATGCTCTCTGAGATCTGGCTGAAAAATTGAGCCCATTGGAACTCACAGAACATACAAATACTGCCCAAGTAATCCCCCTGTTTGGATACTAACTTCCTTACCTTTAGCAAGGCAGGCGTGTCACATATCCTCAGACCATGCCTTGGGAATTGATAAGCTTGGGTAAAAACAACAATAACAACCCACCTGTGATGAGAATATTGGGAAAGGGGAAGTCCAAACCAGAATGAATTTCTTGGTGACATTTTACTTAAAATAAAATTATCAGTTCTGAAAATTCTCTGGGACATGGAAACTTGAATACAATGCCCCATTTAACACCAGAATATGGTACAAAATGAGATATGATGTCAGTACCAGATATCAGGCAGTTAATATTTGATAGGTAATTTGAAATGCACTGTTATTTAATATTGGGCAATACAGATAATTGATATGCATTGGTGTATTACAGTAGTTTTTGAACTTCTTGACTTCAGAGGAAATTTAGAGTCTCAATTTCTATGTCATAAAACCAATAGAGTTCACACTGGCATGGAACGCTCAGCTCATCCACAACTGTGTTTTAGCCTTATCCTTTCTCAACTGTGTATTTGGAATTGACTCACAATGGATAAATTTTTGCTCTGATCATACTTGAACAATGTCTTGCAATAATAGCTAGTATGTAAGCTCACTTAATAGGTAAAAGGCAATGCTCTGTGATAACATGCAACTAACAAAAATAGCATGTATATAGTAGAAGCCTTTGAATTCATTTGTAATGTAAAAACAATTGCAGGAAAATTAGAAATCAAATTAGTATTCAAAACACTCTAAATTTAAAACACAAAATAGTATTGAATTTGAATATCTGAAAATATTTATTTGTATTGAAGAGAGAATATTTCCAGATGAGCAATTTATCATTGATTTCTGCATTAATAATTTATATTATTATTCCGTCATCACTGTAGAAATAAATCACTAAGGAGAGGGTTTATTTTGCCACAACAATTTACTACAATTCACTAATGCAGAAATGCTCTTGGCTACTGCCACTGCTCTTCATATGCTAGTACAACCTTCCCTAGTCTGGACACTGTTCAGATAAGTGACTACAATATGGTTGAGGAATTCTGGGAATTGAAATGGGAATTGAAGGTCATACTTTGGAAGGCACAAGTGAGGGAAAGCCTGCTGTCATTTGGTAATGGCAACAACTAGAAAATAAACACAGGTCAGCCTTTCATTCAGCAAAACAATTTTATTTACAACATACAGGTAGTTCTCAATTTATGACCACAATTGAGCCCAAAATTTTTGTTGCTAAGCATGGTATTTGTTAAGTGAATTTTGCCCATTTTATGAGCTACCTTGCCACAGTTGTTAAGTGAATCACTGCAGTTGTTAAGCTAGTAGCATGGTTGTTAAGTGAATCTGGCTTCCCCGTTGACTTTATTTGTCAGAAGGTTGCAAAAGGTGAACACATGACCCCAGGACACTGCAGCCGACATAAATATGAGTCAGTTGCCAAGCGTCTGAATTTTGAGCACATGACCACAGGGAAGCTATAATGGTCGTAAGTGTGCAAAATGGTCATAAGTCATTTTTTTCATTGCTTGCTGTTGTAACTTTAAACGGTCACTGAATGAACTGTTGTAAGTCCAGGACTATCTGTAAGACATATTTTAAGTTATTCATATTCTAATGACATTTTAAGGGTTCTATTTTCCTTAGAAGTTATGTTTCTTTCCCTTTCATTCAAATTCCATTCTACCCTTTCTTCCTACCTGTTAGAAGTTTTTGTGCCAGCCATGGCAGTTTCTTAAAAGGCCACCAGATGGAAGTAAAGAAACACCTTTGATCCCATTGGTAAGGGAGGGGTCAGAGGTCCCTATAAAAACCCCTGCTCAGGGGCTGCCCTCTAGCTCTTTTTTGTTCTAGCTTCCTTTGGGGCTAATCCATAGGCTCAGTCCAGGCATGGATGCCTCCATGCCAGGGAACTCATTTTACCTGCATTATCTTTAAATAAAGTTTCAACTGTTTGCATTCCTGCGTGCTGCCTCTTTCTTGGAAGCACCTCAACAAACCATCCACCTTGTGAGGGCTCTCACACTACCTGTAAGTTCTTTTACTTTCTATCCGTTGCTAAATATCCCTTCACCAAGTGCTGATTTTATTTAGACCTATTGCTGCTCACCTCATGGGAAAGTTTTCTCAACTTCAGTTAGCTTGGCAAGCTGTGAGGATGTTTCTTTCCCCTTTGTAAGGATGAGGCTGCAGTCATGCTCTGTTTCATTGCCTACAGCTTCCTCCCCCCTCATATTTGGAGTCCTGCCAATATGTTGACTAGTCACATCTTCAAAGTCACTGGAAGTCATTAGGTTGTGTCACCATGTAAATTTTAAAAATACTGTAAATACAAATAAATAAAACCGTAGGTATTCCCTTCCTGCTCTGGTTTTATACATACAGAAGTGCAGGAACAGCTCCTGCTCCCACTGCCTTTTTCTGCCATGCAGAGAGCCAGAGCCTTCAGTTACTGAATGACTGCTGCTTGGTTTCTCCATCTGCAGGCAATTGTCGAAAGAGCAGAAGGTAGATTTTCTGAGGGCATCAGAATATCATTAAGCACCAGTCCCACAATCTAATAGGGAGAAGTTGATTTTTTTAAAATCAGCTTCTTCTGGAATTCTAGAAGGTTGAAGGTGCAAATATATTTGGAAAACAGACACTCTCTTTAAAAGTGTAAATCCAGATGTGTTGGGCACTGATTATATAAATAGGAGGGAGGGAGTTACATATGCCAAAAGGGGACTATTTATAAAGTTTGAGGGCCACAGCCAGATATGCTCCTGCATTTTGATCAGTCATGATTGAAAATAGCATCCACTTCCATGAAGCGGGAATGAGTTATCTAACAAAATGGTGAAAGGGCAGTTTGCAGGCCTCTTCAAAGACTTCAGCTGCTTAGGAGAAATTCTTTCTTAATTCTTTACCTCTCACAGGGTTGATGTGGTAAACAGGCGTTTGATTGTGGAGAGGAGTGGCTCAAGTCCCTCAGATACCAGCTCTGAGATAGGAAGGCGACGCATCGTCCATCTCTATACCACATCTGATGATTATTGCTTGGGTTTTAATATCCGTGGAGGGAAGGAGTATGGTCTTGGCATCTATGTCTCCAAGTGAGTCTTGCTCTTCCTAGAGCCTTCTGCTGTTGAGTGTTTCAGATCCTGATAACATCTGGAGTTAGATTCAAATTTCACTTTAACTGTGATGTTTCCTTTTCAGGGAAGTAAATTGCCTGTTGCAAAATAGCAGTGCCCAAGATCTATATCGGTTAGTTAGAGGCTGAATTGATAGACTACCCCCTCCCCCCATTTCAAACTCTGTTTAGCTTCAATGGGAGATATTTTGTCTTTGCAAATAGTAAGCATTCCGGGGGATGATCCAAACTGGGACTTCAGAGAGAACAAAACATTTAAAACCTGATCATAACTGCCATTGCAATTACAGATTTGGGTTAAGGCTTCTCCCACCCCCTATAATTAACTTAGAATATAAATCACTCCTTAGAGGAGGATAGAAAAGTTAGATAGACATTATGATGATCAGTTTAATCACTTAATCCATAATAATATATCTACAGCATTCGCACAGGCCACCCTAACCCCATAAAACTTTATCCCTTGGTCTTCTTTCAGCCCAATTTCTTCAAGAGGAACTGTATGTTCTTTTGGTTTACTAATCACATCCTCATGGTCAGGGATGGGAACACACATCTATAAGCACATAGCTCGTAGTCTGATACAATTTGGTATCTAATCATACTCAGCACTGTATAAGCTTGAATTTTATTTATCCAAATCTTCTACCATTAACTTAAAGCATCTGCGCAATAAAATATTGAATATTAGGAAATTTATCAGAAACAAATGTTTACTGTCTCCCACACTGATTGTTAAAAAAAATATGCAGGCTGTTATGTAGCCTTCCACAACCTGTATGTTCACCAGATGTGCGGAATTACAACTCACATTATTGCTAATTACCGGTGTTTATAGTGGGAGATTTCCATAATTGTCCAATATATCTGGAGAACACTAGACTGAAAAGCACTTATTTATTGAATACTGACACCAAGCTTGGTGGAATGCTATGAGAAAGCCAGAAGAAAACCTTGCATTCCCATTTTAATATAGACATTTTATTTCTTTTCATTGCTCTCTCCCATTCTTAAAATGTGCCATTTTCTTCTGCTCCTACCTTGTTTGCTCAGGAAAAGCCTGATCTTTCTTTCAAATGCCCCCCTTGTGCTTGTTCGATGTTGTATCATTCCCAGAGTGGATCCTGGCGGGCTGGCTGAGCAACATGGAATCAAAGTTGGTGACCAAGTCCTTGCAGCCAATGGAGTCAAGTTTGATAACATCAGCCATAGCAGGGCAGTGGAAGTGCTAAAGGGGCAGACCCACATCATGTTGACCATTAAGGTGAGGCTGATATCTTCCCAAGTAAAAAAAAAGTTATAGTAAGGGGTATTAATCATAAAAGGACTAAGATTACATCCCATTCTCAAGACTGCCATTGTTATTAAAGAAATGATAGTTGCTAAGAGGAGATAGAACTTCCTCAGTTCTGAGTAGGTGTAGCCCAACAATCTCACCCAGCTAAGTTTTCTAGTATCCCTTTCTGACTCCAAATGTCTCTGAATTTCTTTTGGCAAGTAATTCCCTCCTTAAATTGCTCTGGGATTTAGAATTTCAAACATAGCAGATCCAATTTTTTCTAGAAAAGGACCTAACCATGGGGCAAGCATTTCTCAGTATTTCTCCACTTAGTTAGTTTCTTAAGCTTTTACACATTGTTTTGCAGGCAGCAAATGATCCCATGACATATTGCATCTCTTCTTTCCCTCCCTTCTAGGAAACAGGGAGATTCCCGGCATACAAGGAAATGGTGGCTGAGTACTGCTGGCTCAACAGATGTAAGGCATCTTTTCTGGAGAGGGTGTTGCTTTGTTAAGGAAGAATAAGGGATGCAAATCAATCTGCAAATTTATTTCATTCTTGGATTTCAGAAAACATTTTTTGCTCTCCTACCTTTGTACATAAATGGTACCACATTAAGAAACACATATGAACCAAGGAACAGGTACTGTGTTGCACAGACAGATATTTATGATGGCCAGCTATCACATCTCAGTAAGTTCTTTAACCTAAAGACATCCTTGCAATATCAAGGATCAATATATCAGTGGGTATCATTGTTTATTTTTATTCTTATGTTATGGTTTTTATTCTAATACTGTTTCTGTGATTGAGGCAATATACAAACTGAAAAGATAGTGATAGATAGATAGATAGATAGATAGATAGATAGATAGATGATACCTATATGATAGTTATTAAAATCAAAATATTCCACAATACCATGTAGATATCAATGGCACTCACATAACATCCTGAATGCAGCAGTAGTAATGGCAATACTTGCATTATCTGGGGAAATCATGTGCTTTTTCCTTATGCAAAATGTAGCACCTTGAGTGCTGGGAAAACCAAACCAATGAAATACATGAAATATGTGCAACAGCTATGCATTTGTTGGAGACCTCCTAACAGCTAACTTCTACTTTCTCTTTGCAGTGAGCAATGGCCAGTTGCAGCAGCTGTCCCAAACCTCTGAATCCAGCTCATCCATGTCATCCTATTCCTCAGGGACCCCCTTAAGCTCTATGAATGGCCTATTTATGGCCCCAGTTTCCAGCTCAGCTGAAGGTTATATGGTTGATGTTGGCATCTCCACAGAATTGCCAGTTCAGAGCCATTCGTCACAGAGGGCAGAGACCGCTATGCAGACAGAACCATTGCCTGATGGGGCCTTCTTTTCAGGGAGCCTGATCTCAGAGACCCAGAGGATTGTGCAGCCCATGAAAATCCTAAAAGACACGGCCATTCGCACAGAAAGCCTCAAAGAGTCTTTTCACCTAAGGAAGCACCAGACATTTGTTAGCAAGGAAATCACAGAGCCATCCCCCAAAATGGCTCTTCTTCTAGCGCTCAGCCATCCCCGTCAGCCCATTAAGCGATCACAGAGCTATCTGACCATCTGTGGTATGTGTCCCTAAACCATTATGTCTACCTCTATTTTATATTACAATGATAGATTATTCATAAGGCAACACCACATAAACATTCAATTACTTTTTTGGCTCTATTACTAATTTATTATCCCTCCCTCTCCTTCCCCTCCCTCCCTCCCCTCCCCCCCCCTCCACAAACCAATTTTTCTGATCACCTTTCAAAATTGTAGCTATAATAGTTTGTTGAAATGATAGCGCCTTGAGGGCTTTGGAGGCAAGACTCAGATTTCATGTTCTTCCTATAATTGTGATCATCTGATTTGATTTCCTGGATTTTTTTTTTCTCCCAGAGGAAAAGCATCAAAGAAAGAAAGGGAAGCTGGTACCATCAGAGAAGAAAGTCACTCTCCAGCGCTCCAAAACCCTGATGAACCTATTCTTTAAGAGCACCCGACTAGGGAGGCCAAGCTCAACAACTGGATCCTTGGAATCACAGAGGAAGTCCAAATTACCTGCACAGTCTGAAGGAGAGAAAGGTAATAAAAAGTGAGCTTTTAAAGCCAACGGTAGGGAGCTTTTCAGATCATAGGTTGTACAAAACCCTGAGGATTTTCAGGGTTCAGTTTTCAGTTTCCAAATTTTCTAAAGAGCTAAAGTAAGCATTGGAGACTTTGGATCAATAGGTCCTTGGTATACAAATAGACTGTTAATCATGTCTGGAGAAAGGTATTAAAATCCTATTCAAATATTTTTCATTTAACTCATGCACACTTGACAAAATGTATCTTGATAAATTGTATCTTGGCATAATAGCATTGCTTTCCTTGGACTTCTGATGCAATTGGTGGCAGTAAAAAAATTCAGACTTACAAGCATCATTTGCAAAAAGAATGCAAAATGAGAGGCAAATATTGCTCCCGAGTAGCATTTCTCAACCTTGGCAACTTAAAGAGGTATAATTCTGGGAGATGAAGTCCACACCTCTTCAAGTTGCCAAGGTTGAGATATTCTGTTCCAGAAGCTAGCTTAGAATTAACTGCACTCCAGGGGCTACTAGATATGAGCTGCAAAAATCTGGACAACCAGATTTCTCCAAGGATTCAGAAAACACTATTGGCTATATATCTTTCATGGACTGACAAGTACTATGATATATAGTACAGTATAGTTCAGTGGTGGTTCCTCCCGATTCGGCCGGTTCTCCCGAGCTAGTAGTGGTGACAATATGACGATATGACATCACCAAACCGGTCCTGCCCAGTTCTGCTGTAATTCCCCCGCCCCCCGCGCACCCCCATCCCCCGCTCCCCCCCACCCCCCACGTTATTCTTACCTTTTATTTGGCCCCACCTGCAATCTATTGCTGCCTCCTGAGTCTCAGCTGATGGCTAGAGGGAAAAAAACTGTTTAAATTCTTGCTGTGGGGCTTCAAAGAGCCGCCCTACAGCTGATCAGTGTTAAAAGAAAACAAATGAGTACACCAGTGCCTACAAAAATACATGAGTAGATCAGTGCCTGCAAAAATAAATGGGTAGACCAGTGCCTGCAAAAATACATGAGTAGATCAGTGCCTGCAAAAATACATGAGTAGATCAGTGCCTGCAAAAATAAATGGGTAGACCAGTGCCTGCAAAAAATAAATGGGTAGATTGGTACAGCTCTGCAAGCAGTTAAAAGCCTGGTAGACCAGTACCTCTGCTAAATCCTAAATAATTGTCACATGACCATCAAGCCATGCCCACAAAATAAGCCACGCCCACAGAACCGATAGTAAAAAAATTTAGAACCCACCCCTGGTATAGTAGCTCTACATCAGTCTCTGCTCATCCACTTTCTTCATTAGATTCATAATCCCTTTGCTGTTGGTCTTTCTTCCACAACCCTGCAGTTAACATTATCCAGCAATTTGTGAACCGGACTCTGAAATGGGGTAAATGAGCAGGAGTGCAGCATGTGCTTTGCGTAGTGTTCATATGTGTGCTTGAAAGTGTGGGATGCTTGGTGCAAATTCAACATTTGTTATTTACTTGCTTAAAGCATTTAGAGCTTGCCTTTCCATAATCATTCAGGGAAGGGCAGAATATAAATTAAACTAATCTCTATACCAAAGCATATACTAACAATTTATTATAACATAAGAATTTGGTGATCTAAGGTCACACTTGCTATAATTTCATTAGTTTGCATACCGTATTCATCTTCCATGACAAGACTTGTCGCTGTTGTTTTTTTCTATAATAGACAAAAACAGTTTTTCCTCTGGTAGCTGAATCATTATAAGTAATCCTTACTTGAGGATATTCCGGAAGAGCTTCACAATTTAGATGAACTTCACAATTGTCCTGAATCCTTCACACAATTTTGTAAGGGCACAGGCAGTACATTAGTGTCCTGGTTTTTTTCATGCTGGCTTGCAAAACTGAAATGGCATCATTCCATCCCATATGAGCATCCATATCCTGTGCTCTGATAATCTTTCATGAGAGGATTTCTTGTGAGAGGGTTATTGGAAATTGCATGCAGAAATCTGGCAGCTTATTCAGGCATAAAGGAGCATGTGTGTGACTTGTAGCTGTGCACTTCCGAGTTTGAGCAGGGCCAACTTGTTTTGTTCAGTGCTGATAAAATGTATACTCCTTGGCTTTCTTTGGTGACCCTTTCCAGAAAAAGGCCGGTCCTTCGTCTCTCTGAGCTCCAAGGGATCTGACAAACACAGTGGCGATGAGCCCAGCAAAATTATCGACAGCCACTTGCTGCTCATTGAGGACATGGCCAGGAAGCTGCTGATGGAAGATGAAGTGGCAGCTGTATTGCGACACTGCACCCGAGTAAGCAGCATCCCTCATGCATGCCAAGGGATTTTGATTTAAATATCATGCAGTAACTTCCAGCAGTCTTCCAACTACTGTCCTCTAATTGTGCTGAACTACCACTGCTGTAAAACTTTAACTCAATATTCTATTTTCTATATTTTCTTGCAGAACGGTATTAGTTGGCTTGCTTTCTTGTACTTGAGATAATTCATCCTGAGCCCCGTTTTATAAATATACACCTATGCACATACAAACTTACATAGTGTGGGGATGCCTTAGTTCAGGATGCTTTAAATTAGCAAAACATTTTTAAAATTATTTTTTTTATTTAAATTAAATAGTAAAAGAAAAAGAACAAAACAAACACACAGAAAATTATGGTGCAAATACATGCATTCTCAAGAAAAAAGGCAACACATAAAAAATGTTTTTTAAAAAGTGAAAAAGAAACAAAATACATTGCTTTAACAGTTAACATATTTACTAAATAAATATTATTCAAATATATATATATTTCTAATACACATACATAACTATCCACTTTTAACTTGTTGCATTTTGTATAAATGAGTTCCATATTTCATTATACTCACCTGTACAAAGTCTGTCTCTAGGCAAGCCACTTATAGGTGGCAAGTGTAATCAGTTTTTCCATTCGCTGAATAAATGAGGCCACATTTTTATTTCCAAAGCTTTGATATTAGTCTTTTGGGCATAGTTAAGGCATGGAGAATCCATTTATGTTGTCCAATTGTCAAATTCCATATAATAGGTATATAATTCAAAGGAATATTCTCCTCTGAAAAATGTAGCTTTTATTCAGATTAGCAAGCCTGCCAATCAAATGGCAGTACTGATTTTCACCAGGTTAAACTAGCTTTCCACAATCTTGTTCCCTCCAGGGAAGATTCCAGAACTCTCAGTTTAATTTGGCCTTTAAGCAAACACATGGGATGAGGGATCAGGTGGGAGAAATTTCATTTAAACTACTGGCATCTCCCATTTCTCATCATCTATAGAACAGCCATTAGAGGGAGCTTTGAACCAATGCACGGTAGAAATTTATGTCCAGAGTACCGGTAGGAAGTTATTGGAAGACATTAGTTTTCAAAATTCATAAAACATGAAAGAGAATGAAGAGCAAAGACAACTATGCAATTCTATATTTAATGCTGCTTGGTCTCTATTAATAGAGTTAATGTTGGCCCTTAAATGCCTGTGGGAATTCTATATTCCCTGAATTCTTGAAGTCAAACTATTGAATAGGGAGCATAAGTCTTAGGTGACACAAGTGGCCATCACACGAATGATAGGGTAACCAAAATGGTTGTGGAGTGGGGAGTAGGCTGTTCACACAATTCCCAAACCAGAATAACCAAATAAAGCATCTATTCTATATTTGATGTTGATCATTTTTCCCTCCAAAAGTACATTCGAGAAGGTGGAGTAGAAGACCTGGTGAGGCCACTGCTGGCAATTCTTGACCGTCCTGAGAAGTTGCTGCTTCTCCGAGACATCAGGTAAGAATAAGATCAGACATCCAGAGCAGTTTAACAGTTTTGGAATGGCCCAGAAACACCCAGGTTTGACTTCTGGTCCAGCCACAGAGCTCACAAGGTAACTTTGGGGCAGTTGTTCCTTCTCAGCTAAATATAACTCACCAGGATGGCTGCCCTGAGAGTAAAATGAGAGAAAGCCCTGCCTTGAACTTCCTGAGGAGAAACGGGGTATGTATTATGAGTAAATTTCGTATATAAATACACACAAACACACACACACACAAAAAAAAGAATATAAAGGACATGTTTAGGATACAACTATTGCTGTGATTCTTTCAGCAATTTAATAGCCTTCCCCAAGCATGTGTTGGACTACAATGCCTATAATGCCTGTACAATTTTAAGGAGTCCACATATATCATTATTCCATCATAATTTCATAACCGTGATATATAAGATTACATATACCATTACCTACGGCAGCTAAGGGTCATGTTGCCTAAGATAATGCCTATACAATGTCTGCAGACATTATCTTAGGTAATGCCGTAGGTAATGGAATATATAGTCTTATATATCACGATTATGAAACTATGATGGAATAATGTTATATGTGGGCTCCTTAAAATTGTGGTTATATTCGCCCTATACTAGGTATACTATTCACCTATATTATATCACCTATACTATTCACCTATATTAGGTACTCATGATCTGCATTATAGATCAATGATCCAGGATTTTCCTCCTTTTTTTCAGAAATGTGATTGCCTCTACAGATCTTGGCCGCTTTGACAGTATGGTTGTGCCCCTGGAAATGGAAGCCTATGATGCACTCAAAAGCAGAACAGGCGAAGAAGTTTGTAAGAATTGTGTTTATCATCTCCCAGGGTTTATTTATATTGTGGATTGGCTGGATTTCAGGATTATCTACTTTAGGATATATGGCTTTTTTAAAAAGTTGAAATCTTATAAAAAGAATTCTCTGGGTGGATAGCAACACTTAAAAGAAATTGAAAACAGCCAAATAAAACACATTGATCAAAGATGGCACAAAAATAAAATAAACTAAAATGTACAGATATGCATGGTAGAAAAGATTCCTTCACGTAAAGGTTTGTGACCAGGAAAAGAACATTTCAATTTATTTAGCCATTTTTTAAAAATCCAGGTAAAGAAAATAAAAACCTCAACTCAGTTACTATTTCTTACAAAGCATCATGGTGTTCACATTATTGCCTTTTCAAATCTCAGTATATACAATGATGTACAGCCCTTTGTTCAGCCAATTTCAAATCTGTAACATCTTTGCTTGAGAAATACAGCTGGTCCTCAACTTACAACCACAATTGGGACAGAACAAAAGAGCTGCTTGGCAGCTTTTCTCTGTGAATGGAAGGAAGTCCTGTGCTGGGCTGGAGAAACAAAGCCTGAATCTTTGGGATCCAGGCTTCATTTTTCTACTCCAGTGCAGGAGTTCACCTCCCGTCTATGCACAGAAGGGAACTTCTGTGGCAGGTTGCAGAAAATAAACTTGGCTCTCAAAATCCTAGTTTTGTTTTTGCAGCCCAGTGAAGGATTTCTGCCTCTGTGGATGGAGGGAAATCCTTTGGAAACAGCTTGCAACCTTCCTTGCCAGTTTCCCCACTGATTTTCTGGAAAAGCCAGCAGAGAAGATTGCAAATGATCTTCTCATGTTCACAAGCTGCTTGGCAACCAGTTGTAAATGCAAACTACTGCCAAGCTCCCAGATCACACTCACATGCTCGTGTGTGTGTGTGTGTGTGTGTGTGTGTGTGTGTGTGTGCGCGTGCAACTTTTTACTCTTTTATTAACCTTTCCAAGATGCTGTAACTCATTAAACAATCTGCCATAATTCAAGGACTACCTGTAGTGCAAACAAGACTACAGGTGTTTTCAAAGAGATCAAAAAAAGGAAAGATGGCAGTCACAACTAGGTGACCAAAGCCCTTGACTTTTTTCTTTTTCTTTTTTTGAGTCTCTCCTTGCAGACATTCCTGGCAAGATCTGTTTTATGAGAAAGACTGCCATGTCAGAGAAGACACTCTTCAGTCTGGATTGGCAGTGCAGCCACAAGCCTTTTGCCTACATGAGGCAAAGAAGAAAACCATGTCCATCTCCTATTCCTTGTGCAAAAGTCAATCAAATTAGCATTGAATGTCTCTTCAACAGTTTTACAGCACAACAACTCAAGGAGGAGATGGCAGTATATGGGGCACACAGCTCCCTCTCCTTTTAATGCTTTATGGTTGCCCTTCAGGACCTGTGTCTACTGCATTTGCTTCTCTCCTTCATCTGTGAAAAATGGGAACATGCGTCTCTTCTTTTCCTTCCCTGCAGATGTGATTCCCTTTTGGATAAACAATTGTAATATCAAGCCAAGTCTATATAGAATGGTGATCAAAGATAGTGAAAGTTTAATTTCAACTCTTCAGCCACTGCCATAGTTGGAACTTGTGGGGCCTTAGTACTGGATCTACTTAATATTGAATGGAGAGCATCTATAAGCACATTTTGAAATGTTTAGTGCTCTTTTTTTTCTCCATGTCTACAGTGAGATCACCTGCCCTCCGCCCAGCACAGCATGAAACACCCCCAAAGAGACATCTTATCACTCCAGTGCCTGGTGAGTTTTTCTGTTACTTCCTTTCCACCCTCCTGTCCCTCAAGTGGGTTTACCTATAATTGTAACACAAGAGTTTGGATTCTAGATTTGAAGAAAATTATACATATGTAATGTATGTCCACAACTTTAAATGTGCACACTTCATCTCAAGACACTGCATTTGTATCTATGCAGGAGAATATTTTTAATAACTGGATTTATAAAATAAAAAGGAAGATGGGAGTTCTGAACAATGTGACTCTGCCATTAAAAATAATTCAAAGAACAATTAAATTGACAGAAATAATGTTGAATGGAAGTACTATTGGCATATCTGGTATAAGCTAGTAATACTACCTACCAAATAAGTCACAAGGGAGGTGATCTGAATTTGATTAGTAAGGGGAGAACACACACACACACACACACACACACACACACAGCAACATGCTTATATGTCCAATATTTGGAGCCAAATTTTCATTCCAAGACCTACACAACAGAAACGCTCAAGCAGCAGATACTGGACATGTTCCCTTCTGTAATTTTCATAATACTAAGAGAAAAAGGAAATAATAACAATTTTATCTTGTGAATCTGGTTACAGATTTCAGGGGTAGTTTTCTTCTGAAACCAGTGATGACCAACAAGGCAAATGGGGAGGAAGAACACAAGGAGATGCTGAAGGATGCCATGGGAAGGCTGCAGCTCTCTCCCAGACATGGGCAGACTCAACCTCAAAACTATACTCCTCTTGCTGATGTGCCAGTGGATTCCTATATTCTCAACAGGGTCTCTTCCTCAGTGGCCAGTGGCAAAGAACCCCATTGGAGTCTAACTAAACCTACAAAATCCTCTATGAGCTCCCTACACACTGTAACCTCTCAGGTACAATCCCTGGAGCATGGAGATGGACAACCTGGCAGAGAGAGACCACCTTCTTCAAAATCAAGCCATAGAAAGGCTGTTGCATGGGGACCACACGGGGAAATTTTGCCTGCCAGTGATACCCTCTATTCTGTTATTAATCGACCACGCAGAGCTAGGCCCCTGCTCTCACAGCTCTTCAAGGAAACTTCAGCTACTAGCAAGGTAATGCAAGCAGAAATGGGAGATGAGAACCTGCTCCAAAATGGCCCCAATGACAAGGAGGAGAAGGAATATGAACTGGTGACTGTCAGCCTATCCAAGAACAAGCAATCTCTGGGTAAGCAGAACTCTCTAAATTGAAATGGAGAGAAACAGACCTATTGCTAATCACATTTGGTATCACCAATAGGTAGCAAATTGTGAGTTATTATACTGGTAACAATTGCATTTGTTCTTACTTTAGTAGTCAAAGATGGATCATGGGGAAAAATGAACAGGGAAGAAAAGGGAAGAGTGAAAGTAGAGTGAAAGTAAAACAGCTCCAGGGAGAGAAAGTATGACTTTTATGATGAGAAAGATAATCTCCTAATATGGGAAGTGGATGTAAAGAAAGGCAATGTAGAGATTGCTGGGACAAAGTGTAAAAAAGTTTACAAAATGATAACAGAGGCATGTGGAATTTTCTATAAGGAATACTGGGCAACCCAATAATCCATTGAATCATCCTTTGAGAGAAAGGAAATGCAGTAACCAGAAGGAACATTAAATATTAGGATATCTTTTACTCTAAGACTGGATGGTACCATGATCATGTAAGAAGCATATATATCATAAATAGAAAAATAATTGTAGTGGCAAATGAACTTCAATAATAAATCAATATTTACTTACCTAATCCAATAAACAGAATAATCCGGGGTGGGGGCAGAGAGTGGGATTGTGCAATGCTTATAGAGAGAAAAAGATAGTAAGAATATAATCTAAGAGAGCAAATAATGCTTAAGACTAAACAAAATAGAGCAGGGGTCCCCAACCTCTGGGCTGTGGCCAGTTTAGAACTGGGCTTCACAAGTGGCGGGTGAGCACACAAGCGCACACAGCTCCATTTGCATGAGTGGCAGGCGCTCATGCTCATGTGCGAAGCTCCATTTGTGAGCGGAGGGCTTGCACACCCGTCACTTGCAAATGGAGTTGCACGCACAAATACATGCACCCGCTGCTTGTGCAGAATCATCCCCGCTCCCCCCCCCACCAGAAAGGTTACAGACCCCTGAAATGGGGAACATGTAAAGTTATTTTGACTGAACTTTTCAAAAACTTTCAGAATTGGGTGAAAATGAGTGAATGGAATTAAGAATAAAAATGATTAAATGGTTGGGATAGAAGTTGGTACTGGGAATGCTAGAAGAATCATTTTGGAGACAGTGAATTATTTTACAGTATGGGATTGTGACATGCTGAAGAATGCAATTGAAATAAATACTATAAAGGTTGGTCCTTAAAAAGTGACAAGTAATAAATATGGGAAGCATGTTTAAAAAATTGTAATGCTGCAGATTTTAATAGAAGTAATGTCAAAATATGGATGGGGCCTGGTTATAGAAAGGCTTTGTGGTTTGTTTAATATGTTTGAAGCTTGCATCCAAGTCAGAGAAATGCTGTTATTGTTCCCTTATAGAAAGCAAAGAGTTAAAAAAATGAATGTAAAAATTATAGCAGGATTACTTTTTTAAAGTATGTCTGGGGAAAATTGGTAGAATTCTACTCAAAAGAGTTTGAAAGGTGACAACAAGCAAAATTTGTGCAGACCAGATTTATGGTCTTCAGCCAATGACTGAAAAATATATGTATGAGATATTTCATATATTAATGAGACAATACATATATTAGTGTTAGAAAATAATAGTATGAGATATTATTGCATAATAAGAGGAACATTTTGATAATGTTCTTAATTATGGAAGAGAAGGAAGGAATGAAATTGAACAGTGACTGCTCATTGTGGTGAATGCATTATGATAGAAGTAAAATAAAGTAAATGTGTACCTTTCCGTGCAGACATGATGCTGTGTGGATTGATAATCTAAAAGATTTTCAGCAAATGTTAGACTGTATGAAGCAATGAGTACTGTAGAGCTGAAAATTAATGTACCACAGACCAACCAATCTAAAATGAACAATTGCAAGCTATGCACAAAGGTGAAAAACTAGAACAAGTAGATAAAGTATTATGATGCTACGTGTAAGGGTGCTTGGGCCCACTTGCAGAAATAAGGGTTGAGTCTATCAGAAAAAAAACAAAAGTGGAACATAGCGAGTACGGGTTACTGAAGAAGTGTGATAAACAAAGATAGGGCCAAAAATGAATGGGTACGGAATGATTATGGACTGAATGCAAAAGTGAGACTTGAGTACAAAAGAACTTTGAGTTGGTCTTATAAAGGGAATGAATGAGGATTGATTTGGGGAAAATGTATAAAGAGTGAATAAGATGAGAACAAGTAGAAGATTGAAGAAGCATAATTGGATGGCGTTTATAAGATCATAAGAAGCGAGAGAGGTATGAAACTGTGTATAGAATATAGTAAAAGTAAGGTTAGTTTACCAGAGTAAAAGGTTATGGAGAAGTATACTAAATGGTGTAGGTGTCAATTAGATTGCATTTGACAAACCGCTTGGAAGAAATTAGATTGCCATTTGCTGATTAGTACAGAATCTTTTAAACTACACACCTCTCTGACCTTGACAGCTCTCATAAGGAAACAGAGTCTGACCTGAGAAGTACTTGTGTGAGAGACTACCAGGAAATCCCAGGTCAGAATATGAGTTTAAAAAAACATCCTGGAAGAAGACAATGACAAACTATTTCCATATTGTTGCAAATCTTTGAGATGGATTTGCGGAAGCTCAAACATGCCACCACTTCCTAATTACTCACAGCACTGTCTTGTTTTCCAGGTATCAGCATTTCAGGAGGAATAGAATCCAGATTGCAGCCAATGGTGAAGATAGAGAAGATATTTCCTGGGGGAGCAGCATCTCTGAGTGGAGAACTGGAGGTAGCTGAAGCAGTAGGGAGGGGAAAATGGGGATCTGTCATTACTACTAGATGGACAAATAGGAGGTCCAGATGCTCCTTGTTTCTTTCTTCAGCAGCTTAATCAAATGCTCTAAAACCATGATCAACTTATCCCACTGCTACAGCCATCCATTTTACATAATCTGAGTGAGCCATCACTCAGGTGTAAGCCTTGCACAGATTTTAGTAATTATATTTTTAACCACCTGCTTGTAAATTGACGGTAACAGGCTTGAGTTTCTCCAAGTGTTGCACAGTTCATTTTGTTTCAAAAGAATTTTTATCAATTAAACTGCATAAATTAATTACTTCAAAACTCTGTTGGAAAGAGGGATTTAATTTAATCAATTTAGTAGACAGTTTAGAGCGACTTTAGAACTAGTCATTTTTATTTTTGATTATTCAGTCTGGGGTGATTTCCATACTTTAATCACAGCAAATATGGACCATCCAGACCACGGGTGTCAAATTTGATTGCATTGTGTGATTTATTGCGATGTATCATGACGTTTTTTGCCTTTGCGGAGCCGGGGTGGGCATGGCCTGCGTCTGCCACATCTGGCCCATGAGCCGCCAGTTTGACACCCCTGATCCAGACTATCCCGACTTGGAGCATGAGGATAAAGATGATCACAATGTGAACAAAACTTTATGTAGAACCAGATTCAGATTTGAAGGACTGAAGAGGACAATTGACCATCTTCCCTCCTTCTTGTGACCGCATTGAATACTTTGCTATTCTTTCATATCACAGCCTGGCCCATTTTATTCATTTAAACTCATTCCTACCCTACCCGAAACAAACCTCATTGTGCTTTGTAACTAAAGGCCTAGCAACATACACACCCCATTGTGCCATTCAGGGTCCCTCATAGTTCAAGGCACTGTGCAACATTTCCCAAGGCCTCCGTAATGAAGCTGGGGGTTGACAAAGACCCATTGTGGGCTTTGGCCAGCTAGCCTGCCCACCAGGCTGTTCTAATTAGATTTTCCTTTTTGGAGGCCTCTTTCCTTTAGGGGTTACAGGTTTGGTTTATGCTGATTTGGATTAAAGCCCCAAATGGCCTTAGGTTGCCAGGGCAGATGAGAATGGGAGTGGAGTGGTAAAAACACAGGTGAAACCCCTTTGCAGTTCAAAAACTTCACTAGAATCCAGAGCTTCTAACTTATTAACAGGAGCTGATCAATATGGTCATGTAATGCTAGTATTTTAGTGACTTTACAGATATCCAGTCTATTCCTGAACCCAGTTTCAAGCCTTGGCACCCTTTTTTCAAGTCTCTGGCATCTGTGAGCAGATCCCTCCTTCTGTTGTCAGCAGTACAGAAAAGGGCTGGGAGGCACTTCCTGTAGGTTTCCTCTTGGCTTTAGATTATAAATGCTGATCAAGTTATTCTGTGAATTCAGATTTGCAGCTGAATGGAAACAATCAGGGTTTGAGTTAGTGAAGGCCTGTACCTAAGAATCTTTAACCCTGTTGTCTTTTCTGCTTGCTCTGGAAGTAATGCAAGTATAAAGAAACTTACAGAAATTAAGACTAAGAAAACCTTTAATTTCCTATCCCAAAGGTGCTTTTTCAAGATGCAACTGGAATTTCTGGTTTTTCTTTGAAGACGTTTCACTTCTCATCCAGATGAGAGCGAAACATCTGGGTGAGAATTGTAATTTGCTGTGCTTTTGCCGTTTTTCATTTTTGTCCCATGCTTGTTTTCTTTGTTTTTACTAGGCTGGCTATGAGTTGGTTGCAATCGAGGGGGAGAGTCTACAGAATGTAACACACCAGCGAGCTGTGGACATAATCCGCCAAGCCTACCGCAACAAAGCTAAGGAGCCCATGGAGATAGTAGTGAAGGTGCCGAAGAAAATCAAATAAATGTTGCAAATCAAGCAGTCAGTGCTGAAGAATGTGGTCAGCTGAGAAATCGGAGAGTCCTGCAATGCGACTGTTAATGAAGAATCCGTTTAACTATACCTGTTTATTGTTCAGAAAGATATGGTACTCGGGAAACCAATTGCTAGGAGAGTTACTAAATTATCTGCCCGGGAAGCTTTCAGGCTTAATGGAGCAAGTAATAGTTTTCCAGTTCTGGAGAGGCCTATTTGGAACAGGAACAGGCAAGATCAAAGATCACATTGTCCAAGTCAAGCAACAAGTATTGTTTCCAAAACTACAGTTAGCTGCAAATGGACAGCTGTCGCTAAGAACAATTGTTTTGCAATGAGTTGGCATCTCAGTGGAGGAAATATTGTTTTTGACATTCTGACCCACCCCAGTTGACACTCCTAGATGATAAGGCCAGTTCCAGCTAACTGGAGCCAGAAGGAAAGGACTACAAAGAAAGTCAATATTAATCACTGGAGGGATATTTGTTAATTCAGGTTCAGTAATGGACCATAGCATTAAATTTAATAAATTTACCTACACTCATGCATTTGTAAGTGAACCATAAAGTTTGAAAGACAATAACCCAGAATCTCAGATTGTAAATCCAAAACTCTGAATATAATATTCTCACTTGAATCTCCTTAAATCCATTGTTGACTAAATAACAAACTGGCAGTGATCCCCCCCCCCCCAAAAAAAACACCCAGGGAAATGAAGAGGCAGTCACTGTTTTTCATCCGGCCTCAAAGCCACTCTCAGTGACTGCAATGATGCAAATCAGAAAGGAACATAGACTGAAAAAAAATCAAATTACTGCTTTTGTGGTCTTCCCTAAAGGCCAGATCCAACAGCGGCTTCAAGATTGTGTTGGTTATCACCTAACTAAGAAGATTAACTAAAGAATATTATCATTTTGTTATCCCTGAGCTGAAGTAACTATTGGGGATCAACCCTGGCTGATTTCCAGGTCAATATTTCTCATATGGAACAATTGTCAGCTGTTTACAAAGTGCCGCCACCAGCCGGAGTGGAAGAAAAAAATGCAATACTGGTAGAAGTCCATTTAGACCCAGGAACGAGAGCAGGGATGAGAAATTACTAAGCATACTCTGTGCTATAAATGTTCAAATCTGCCTTTGTCCACCATTAGGATAATTCCATCCTCTGCTCGTCCTTCCACGATTCACTGTCCCATCCATCAAATTTACATGTGACTTTTTCTTAAAAGAAAACAAACAATTTCTTAGTTGTTGTTTTTTATTTCACACTTTTCTTTTGGTTTGTACAAGAAATTTACACCACCTGGAAAATATACAATTTCAGAAATAAAGTAAAAGAAAAATATAAAGTGGTGCTTAAAGTGGGTTAAGCGAGAGGTATAGGTTGCTAATAGTTATAGAAATGACATGCACCAAGCTTTTCCTTTGGTCTAATGGTGGAGTATCAACACATCCATTTTGCAAGCTCTCGTAACAGGGGGGAAAAGGGAATAATGTCCAGAAGTGAACTCAGATGGCCTCTTCTCTTGGAATGCACAGAATTTCCAGAGTGTAGCTAAATGCCATCATCCTCTTGAAAATAGTCCCAAACTCTAGCTGGGCTACTACACCCTTCACAATTTTTTCTATCTGTTCATTTTTGCATGAAGAAGAATAAGAGGACCTGAAGCAAAAGTTACACTAAGTTAGCAGAAAGCATCTGCTCTCTATTCTAGCAATATGGCAATTCTTCCCAGATTGGCCTAAATAGGATGTCAAAACTACAGTATGCGGTACTTTGGCTGCTTCCCAGCCAAAGCACCAATTCTGGGCAGTTGACTTTTTTATAGCCAGAGGAAAAAGGCTAACAAAATCTAACCAAGCTGACATAGTGAGCATGCCTTGCGCTGTCTGGTTTGATTCTCATGGGCTGGAACCAATATATAAAACCTGCTGTGAGGGTCCTTTATTCAACCCACTGATCCAAATCTCTTCAGCCTCTTGCAACCTCAAGGAAGTTTGTTTACTTTATCCTGAAAAGAGGACTCATCTCTCTCCAGGAAAGAGAGCACTTCGATCTGTAGTTAACTGGCTATTTTGTCAGCCCATTTCCTTTGGGAATGGCTTTTCTGCAGTTCACAATATTGGCTCACCCTGTATCACTGACCATTTTTCTCCTGAGCATACACTGGAAGACAAAGAGGAGGTCAGTTAACAATCTAGTAGCCCCAGGGGTGGTATTCACTTACCTTCGCTACCGATTTGCAAATGTGAGTGCGCGTGCGTGCTCGGTACGCTTGCATGCACCTCCTCCATGCATGCACAGAGCCTTCTGTGCATGCACAGAGGGTCAAAAACGGGACGTGATGACGTTCGAGCAGGTGAGCAGAGCCTCCCGCCACTACCGGATTGTGCGATCCGGATAGAGCCGGCTGAATTTCACCACTGAGTAGCCCCCACATCTTTCTTTATAGAAGACTGGGTAAGGTCCACATTACCCCCTGCAAACAGAACTTTTCTTTGAAAGGAGCTCCTTGCAGTTGTCACTGGCCTGTGAGGGTAGGAAATCAACAGTAGGTCTGGACTGAGTACCCACTGAAATTATTCTATCCAAATGAAATCGATAAACTTGATTCGAGTACAGATGCATGGACAGCTTTAAAGGAGAGGAACTAGGAACCATATTCTGGTATGCAATTAGTCTTGATTGGGTTACAAAAGTAATTATTGTACCCCAACAGGTTAGACTGCCCTGCAAACATTTGTAGGACTTCACAATGATCATGGTTCAGACTAGACCAGATCTTGCAAAGATGATGGGAAGGGAATATGGATGCCTGGGAAATGGAGCTTCCAGAACTATAGAGGAAATTGTAGAAAGAAACAAGACTATTATCAGGGAAATGTAGGAGATTTAAACTCAGCCATCTTTGACCCTCAAATAAACGACATGGATGTTGTTGGGCAAACAGGTAGAGGCTGGTTGAAGGTGAGTGGTGAGAGAGACATACCTAGGCAAGCAAGATCATGAGAAAGATACTCTGAGTAGCATTCCAACCAAAGACAGAAAAGGTAGGTAAGGGGAAGGGGAGTCATCCAGATCCCCTCACAGTCAATAGGTGAGCTATGCTTAGGCTTTATTTTAAAATTCACCCTTCAAGAAGGGGAAGGAGGGCAGTGATGACAAAGTAATAAAAACAGAAGCAGTGGAGCCAAAATATTTGGTATAGAGCTGGGATGAGTGGTTGAAGGGAAGAGATATTCTGGATTTAAAAAAAAAAAAGTAAAATAAGTGCACAAAATCTAGTGACACTGAATTCCAACATTTTATCTGCCAAATTTTGGTGCCATAATCTAGAGATAGGCTCCTGGGATAACCAAATCCTGAGATCTGTTTTAAGTATCTTTGGCTTTTATAATACACTCTTATACATGCTTACCAAGAAGCAAGTCCCACTGAGTTGAACACTCTTACTCTCAGGTAAGTCAATAATACAGATGCAGCAATATGTTTGGGGGGAGGGGGGGTTAGGTGAGAGAGAGAGAGACTAGGTCTCTGTTTCCATAGCACTGGAGCCAGTATGCTTTCCCTTAAAAAAAAAACTTAGCATAGGGTCTTCCTATAAAGCTTTTTGTGGGGGAAGCCAAAGGACTACATGTATTCCGCAATTCTTTTCGGCTTTTAAAAATAACAGAATTTAGAATCCTGAGAATCAGCTTTGAACCTAGTAAAATTTATTAACATTTTTGTCCTATAAAAAGAAATAAGCTTGGACTAATGCCCAGATCCCCAATTCTTTGGCCCACATCATCTATTGGCCAAAGAATTGCCTACAAAGGTCCTTGCCCTTCCTAACTACAGGATGCATGTGCAAAAAAGGAAATAAATGCAAATGTTTTTCATCTGCACCGTAACAGGGTCCATAGTAAAGGTTTTGATTGTATGCATTTATGTGTTTGGATTTTAAAAAAAAGAGATAGACTTCACATACAGCAGAGAAGTGGACTAAAAATCCAAGAAAAGCCTTCTATAGACAAAGCTTCCTCAGCCAGCCTAAAACTGGCATCTAACTGGATTAGCAGCTAATTAGCTGTTGAACAGCCAAATCTCCCCAAATTCAGCAAATGGTGGCTGACAGTCCATGGGGTCATTACATAGAGGTAACAGAGGAGCAGAGTAGAAGCAAAAGTGCTCTACACAATCCTGGCATTCCCATCCATGCTACCCTCATCTCCAACCAACCCAAAGAGCAAGAGACAAGTGGTGATTCCCAAGGTCTTACAGAAGGCCAATTAACATTGGGACTTGAAAGGCAGCAGCGTTTAATAGCCCCTTACAAAAGCAAAGGCTATTCCTGCTTCATTTCCAGTGAAATGGTGGAATAAAGGCTGCTGCTGCTTTCAAAGAAAGGATTTGAATTCTCCTTCTTCTAGGTTGGCCAGGAAATCTTTAACCAGGTCCTCCTATACCTCCTAGAGTTAAGGCAAGCTGCCTGGCTTCACACACTATTCTACTTTTAATAGCCATTAAATTGTTGACTTACTGAGAGTTCATGACCAAGTTTAAATGACAGAACAAGTTCTATCACTGGGATTTATGACTGGAAAGGTAACTCTTTCCACTACTGAACTGAGGCTCACTGCATTCTCGGTCGCTCAGTCAGACAAAATCCCAGAGAAACATGCTCTAGCCTGGCCAATATCCCTTTGTGGCAGTGTGGCCCATTCACTCCGGCTTCCCCAGGCATGTTCAGATCTCAGTAGCTGCAATCTCCTCCAAGCAGATGCCTTCACTTCCATGCAGCTCATATTCATCCATGTCCCGGGCCTCAAGTTCAAGACTGAGATGGCGTAGTTGGCACTCTAAATCGCGATTGTGCCGATACATCTGGATGTAATTGTGCTGCAGTTGCTTCTGGTAGCGGATGACCCTGTCCTTCTCACTTTGCCAAGTGATACGCTCAGCCTGGAAAACTTCCCGTTGCTCCTCCCCACGGCGTCGCTCACACAATAGCTCTGTGCGCAGCCGTTCAGCTTGTGCACGCAAACCCTGCAGGGTATCCGCTGCTTGTCGCTGAGCTTTTACCTCATCACATTCAGCCAACAGGGGGCAGAGTTCTCCACTAGTGCTGCGCAAGGCATCTAATTCGTGCTCCAACCGCCCTACCTTCTCACGTAGCAGCTCTGCTTCACTCTTGCGCCTGGCCAGCTCATTGGCACATACTTCTAACTCCATTGCCTTGGTACGGGCCATCTCCTGCAAACTTAAGGCCTGTTCTTCGCTTGTCTGCAGCTCAGCCCGTGCTTCTCTCAGTTGGGCCCTTAGTAACACTAGCTCATTACCCCGCTGCACAACCTCTGCATGAGACTCCTTCAGCTGTTGCTTCAGTAATGAGATCTCACCTGCCTTCTGGCAAACCTGATGGGAAGGAAAAGAGATATAAGATGACAGGGAACATGCCACAATGTTCCATTTCAAGTTCAGCAGAGCTAAGATCTGATTCTGTGATCTGAATGATGAGAACACCTGTTGTCTTTCGGTTCAGGAATAAAAATGGACTGAGACAGATCACAACTCAAAGTTGCCTTCGTGTCAGCAGAGAATGAGATTGAAAAGACTTCAAACAACCTAGTAATGTCAATGGGATTAACATTCTCCTGTTCTTCTGCACATACAGTAGATCAGCAAACAGAAAGTATTTCAGGGCAACAAAACATTTATTCTCTCATTATTTCCCCTGTTCTGCTGCCCTTCCCTACATTATTTCCAAGACCATTATCAGAATACGATAAAAAATTGTGTGTTTGTTTATCTAGGATTCATATTAACCCTTATTTTATTTAATTACATTTTTTTTTCTTTTTTACAACAGTCCCTTAATGCAGGGTAGAGTTGGGATAGAGTTTGAGCGTTTACTGGCAAGATGCCCCTCCTTATACCTACATGGAGCAGATATTTTTTTTCTTTATGCTCTAGGAGGGAAACATCTGCCACTACCTAGGATTGAACTCTCAACCTTCTGAGTGGGAGGTGAACATCTTCACCAGTAGGCCATCACACTACTCATTTAATCACAATTAACTGAGTAAAATACAGTTGGCTGAATCCTTATGATACACTGAACTATAAACCAGAGATAAAAATCTATATTAAATAGAATTCTATTTTATGACTTAATATAATGGGTGAATTGTGTGTTAGAATGTGAGAGACTCCATGGACTGCTAATGTGACTGATTTGCAAAATAGTGGTTCAGTATACTTACTGGAAAAGTAAGCTTGATCTCTCTCTCTCTCTAACCTGTCATTGTCTAGCTAGCTGGAGGGAGGATGAGAATCCCCATTCCTAATGCTGATGCCTCGCTCAGTTCCACGACTTTCAAGAACTACGGAAGAGCATCCCTCCCACTTACCTCCCACTTTGTCTCTTCCAACCGGGGGCCCAGCTCGGTGTGTTCCCGCTCAAAGGTGGCACAGCGTTGCTCCAGCAGCTCACGCTCGGCCAGCAGTTGCACAAAATCCTCCTGGAGTTTCTTCTTCTCCTGCTGCAGCTGGTAAATCTGTAGTTGCAACACCTGCTGACTACGCTGAGCCTTTTGGGCCGATTGCTGCAGCTTAGTACTGAAGCCCTGCCGGAGCTCTTCCATCTCCTCTTCACACCGCCTCTGCTTTTCCTCATAGACCTGGAAGGAAGATGGGGGAAACCAATGTTAGAAACTAGCACTGACATATAACCAACTCCTTGGATTCTTAAGTTCACCACAAAATACAGGTAGTCCTCAACATACGACCGTTCCAAGTTACAATGGCACTGGAAAAAGTGACTTTATGACCGTTTTTCACACTTATGACCGTTGCAGCATTCCCATGGTCACATGATCAAAATTTGGATGCTTGACCACCGGTTCATATTTATGACCGTTGCAGTGTCCCGGGGTCATGCAATCACCATAATTCTGACAAGCACAGTCAATGGGGAAGCCCGATTCACTTGAAAATCTTGTTACTGATTTAACAACTGCAGTGATTCACTTAACAAATGTAGCAAGAAAATTTGTAAACTGGAGCAAAACGCACATAACCAATTTCTCACTTAGCAACATAAATTCTGGGCTCAGCTGTGGTCGCAAGTCGAGGACTACCTGTAGTCCCTTTGTATCCTGGGCTTTCTGTAACTGTGATCCTCCTTCCCAAAAGTTGCCTCAAACAAGGAGGTCAATGTTACTCCTTTGCATAACTGTAGCTCTTTAAGTTCTAAGGAAGACAGTAAGTTGTGGGCAGTCTGTTAAGGAAGACCCTGGACTATAAATATTAAAGGAAGACAGAATTATACTTCTAGGAGTACCACAGTGGTTGTTCGAGACAGGAAGAGAACAAAGTTTGAGAAAGAGATTAAAACAGAGATGAAAATAGTGCAAAAAACCCCACAACAACCAGTCACATGATTCAGAGGGTGAAGCAAACTCTTTATAAAGACAAAATTACAACACTTGAGATCTATTTGGCCATTTTAAAAATAAAAGCAAGAAGGATAGAGATATATACAATTCTATATGGTGAAGAATTGAAAAGGAAAAACGATTTTACATCTTTTCTAACTCTACTCTGAGATTAACCAGTGAAGCTGAACAATAGAAGATTCAGGAACCAATATTTATTTGCATAGCACCTAGCTAAACTGAATTTTATTACACAATGAATCTACCAACTTAGATGACTTTAAAAGGGAATTAGACAAATTCACGAAGCACTTCACTATTAGTCATGATGGCAATATGCCACCACCCAGATCAGAAGCAGCATGTCTTTGCATACTGAGCTAATTCAGCACATAACAAAGCTATAACACTGACCTCTAGCTGACTACACTAAAATACAAGACTTTAGACTAGGGAACTTTTTATATGGCCCAACAGCGGTCTTCTTATTGGCAAGAAAGTCTATTGGCAAGAAGATTTTGCATGCAACCATTCTTAGGTTACATTAGATCTCGGCAGAAATACTCCAAAATTACCCGCCTACATCATAAATGATAATAAAATTGTAAGATATATTCCAAGAATTATTTATATGGAGGAAAGATCAAAGGAATAAAAGTTGAAGCAGCTAATAATAGAAGAACCAATCACAATAATGAAAATTAAATGATATTTCTAATTAATCCTTACAGAAGATTGACTGTTTTCCAGCAGTATTCCACTCGGTGCACCCACCCTTTTTCTCCACTGAGGCTGCCAAAAATAAGGGGAAAACAAATCTGGCACTTGGCCTGTCTGATCTGACCCTCAAGGAAGCTCATATTTCCTGCAAGTTGTTGAACATAATCCAACCAGTTCCAGCCCTAAACCAGCTGCTACATGGAAGTTGCCTACCAGTCACTGATAAGGACAGCTTTCCTGCAGAAGCAGTTTTTAGAAAACAAACATTCCCTCCCGCCCCTGTATATCAGAAAGAGCAATAATAATACCCTCATTCCCACCCCCAGCTTACCTGGCAAATGGCCACCTCATTCTCATCCAGACTCTCTCTTAAATGCTGCAGCTCAGCTTCACGCTCCCTCAGCTTCTCTTCAAGTTCATGGACAAGAAGGGCTTCATCCGCGCCATTGTGCATAGGGGAACGCCCCCCACAGGAGCCACTGTCAGAGGAAGGGTGCCCACGGCCACTCAGGGAACCCGTGCTCTTGCTTGAGGATGACCGCCCACTGTCTGAATTTGATGGGCCAGTAAGACCGCGTGAGCTGCCGCTGCCATGGTTGTCAAGGTTAGCATGGCCTATGGAGATGCTGACTGGCTCTATTTGCTGGCTGCCCCCCGTGCTGTATGTGGGAAGGCTGGAAAGGGAATTACGCCCAGAGTCTGACATTGTCCCAGAGTGGGAGCTGGTGCGGCAGCTCAAAGAACTGAGCTTCTCTGTAGTGGTTACAGCATTGGCACCAAAGAGCTGGGCTAGGCTGGATTGGCTCTCAGAGAGCACCGAAGTCCCAGGACGCAGAACCAAGTGGCTCTGCAGTGGGAGGTTGCGGTTCTTGGGCATAACTGGCTTGAAGGCTGTGGGGCGAATTAGCGTCTTCTCTATGTTCTGAGAAACAGCAAAAAAGCAGAACTTAATGAAGGAAGGACAAATTAACTAAAACCCTCTCCCCTTAATACGCTTTCAGTAAGCCTCAAGCAGAAATACCACATTTCATAAAGTAAAAGACGGCTCCTCTTTATCCTCATACAAGGTTAGTGGACATTTGTTTCAGATAGTGCGTCATTTTCTTTATCTGGCTAGGAACAGTTCCCAGCCTAGGAAGGCTATCACAATTGGCCACTTACAGCCAACAGAGATAGAAACAACTCACAACCTTCTTTAATCAGTGTGGACCGGTTGGCAGATCTTCCTTACTCCTATGTTGCTAGAGAAGCGGGGGAGGGGGCGGGAACCCTCTGATTGATATTATATGTTTTCTGAAAAGGTGAACCATGTGCTTTCACTACAAAATTAAAGCGTAGGAAAAGTTTGGCAGGCCCACTGGGGCAAGGAGGAGCATTATGATTTTTTTTTACTGTTCAATTTGTATTCATTGTCATATAGATCAGAAATTGGCAAGCTGTAGCCCTCAAGCTTTTTTTTTTTTTTTTTTTTTGGCAGTCCCCCAAAACATTCAGGATAATGCCACAAAGATTCTTAGAACAGATACTGAATAAGAATGGCATAGTTTTCCTCCATTATTTTATAGATGTCAAGTGAAATAAATATGTCTCCCAAAAATTGAACCTATCCATTTCATTTGTGTGGAAAATCTCAAAAATGATTAAAGGGCCCCAAATTCCAGCTCTAGCTCTATGGGTGAAATCATCTCCCTTGGCTACCAGGAGGAAAAAAATCAAATGAAGCATAAGTTCTCCAAGCCTATTCACCAATAGATAACCTATCCTTGCTCTAAACGGAAAGATCTAATGGTCCTGCCATAATATTGCTGCTTCTTACCTTCTCAAGTTTCCCCGAAACAGGGACCAACTTGGGAGGTGGTCCACGGATGATGCCACTCCGTGGCTTGTCATCCTGGAGATCTTCTGCATCACTACAGGGGCTGATGGGGGATACAGCTTCAGTCCAATCTTCTTCATTGCCGTAAGCATAGCTGGTCTTCTTTGTAGGGAGTCCATGGCACAGAAGCTCCTGGGAGCCAGCATTTCCACGCAGCGGGAAAGCACCAAACTCAGATGTGGCCTTATGGCAAGGCCGGCCTGAAATAAGGCTACTGACACTTCCCATGTTTGCAGGGGATGAGCTGGCACTAGTACAGAGTTGGGAAGCCCCTTCAGTGGCAGATTCAATGGAGACAGGCAAGGTCTGCACTATGGCCATGATGGTCACAGTAGAGCCTTTGCAGGTGATCTTAAAGAAAGAAAATATATATACCGGTATATATCTGTATCTATATATATCTATATAAACTGAGAATAGGCACTAAAGACAGTTAGATTACTTCAAGCTTTGTGTTTTGGCTATTTTTATGAAATGCATAAAAATCTGAATTTCTGCAAATCTGGACTAAGACTTACGTTCTATGAGGATGGGTTCACATAACAAAAAACTATGCCTAAAGAAATAAACTATACTTTACCTTAATGTGTTGACCAGGATGATACAACATATTAACAAATGACCCGACCCCATTTTTTTTCTCAGTCTGATTCCCAGCTACTTTTAAACTGTATCAAAGACAATTGTTTGGAACTATGGTATTGATTCTGTTTATGACTTGGATGATTGGCAAGAAATATATATTTCCTGTTACCAAAGTAATTAAAAGTTTAAAGAGATATCAAATTGCAATGAAACATAATATACTAGCTGAAATCAAGACCCTTACTCTCCTTGTCCAATATAATACATTATTATTAGTCATATTTAAATGATGGTTTTTAATGATATAAAACTGGGGGGGGGAAATAGCAGTAGCTGATGGATATACAGATTTATTGAAAAACTTTACTGCCAGTTTCATTATTATTACTGTACTGTAGTTTTAAGTCTGGCTGGCCTGAGTTAAATTTTAAATTGATTTTAAATTGGGTTATCTTAATTTCGGCCAAAATATTTAATTATTTTAATACTGTTCTTAAATTTTGTATGCTTTGTTTTTATCTTGGCTGTGCACCGCCCTGAGTCCTATTGGAGAAGGGCGGTATAGAAATTTAATAAATAAATAAATAAATAAATAAATAAGTCATAGAAATTTGGTTCTTCAAAAGGAAATATAAGATCTTTTGCCAATTGCCACTGGATAACAGTAGGCAATGCAACTTCTACCTTCCTCCCCCTTCTCACTCACTCACTCTCTCTCTCACACACACACACACACAGAGAGAGGGAGAGGGAGAGAGAGAGAGAGAGAGAGAACAGCAGCCTGTCTAACCCTCCCAACATTAATTCAATTTCGCATATATAAATCAGTGCATGTCCTTCCTCTGTCCCCTGCCACATAAGCATGTGTTTTATGAAAATGATATCAGCAGAAGAGATAGCAAAGAGATTCACACTCTTGCTGTGTCTAGAGAGAAGTGGGGGACAGAGCTCAAACCTCTTCTGACTCAGGGTCCAATTCCTAAACCTGGCCTCTGTTAAGGACAACACAAACCAGACCTTGGACTCCATAAAGTTGTTTATTAGTTCCCAGCTCCATGCTCTACCAGACTACGGGTCATTGGAAAGGTCTGTTAAAAATGCTAAATGGAGGAAGATGAAAGCAGTAGCTTTGGGGAGAATGGAAAACCTCAACATCAAGTGGAAAGAGAAGCAAAGAATAAGATAAAGAACAGAGACTTTGCATATTTCACATCTCATTCACACAGAAGACATCCATCTATTTGATTCAATTGTTATGCAGAGGCTGGTGTCAGTCATAGAAACAAGCTAGGAGACTTTGGGCCAGTCCAACTACTGCACAATGTTGTTTGGAAAGGGGAATTGGACAACAGAGTGTTATGTATGGACTGCCATTAGCTTTTGGAGAAAAGGTAGGATAAAAAATAAACATTCTAAAATAGACTAAACTAAGATTGGGTAATTTATGGTTCAGCATATTACAAATCCAGCCTATATGTGTCTTTACTGGCATTTTGTGGTCATAAGGGTATCTACAATTCAGTTACAATAGTTATGACAGCCCTAATTCAAGTATAATATGGATTACTTATTTGAACGTACCAATTGAGCATACCATGCCAATACAACAACTGTACTTTGTTATATTAAATTTAGCATGTTATGTGAATCCAGCAAAAAAATATCAAAGTGTAGATTAAGAGGGCCAGGAAATTATATTAAAGCCTACTTTCCATGGATGGCGATGGTAGGGTGTTGTTTTTTTTTCTTCTTCCCTTGATTCAGGCAGACTTGCTAAATAAAGCATCAGCTCTTAGAGACTCTGTTGTTTGCAAATCTTCCCATACTTCTCATGCCCTGGAGTTCTTACGCAGATGCTGTGTTTATATGAAAACCTAACTCAATTTTACTGGGATGAGGTGTTCGAGTGGGAGGGATGGTTTCTCTGTTTTGTTTGCTGAAAATGCCTCAAGTCTAATTTTGTTTCTATTCAATGTTGTTCTAAACAGATGCTGTACATGAGCTTCTATGTAAGTGTGTGTGTGTGTGTGTGTATACATACATGCACAATATCTAAATCTGAAAGATTCGGTATAATTAATCTAATGTTTCACTGCCGACCTCACAATTATTCAGCAGCAGTGAAGCTTCTATGCGTCACAGCACATACACACATCTATACACACAATCGTTCAGACACAGAGACCTCTTGCACCCATACCCAAGTGGCAGGAATAGAATAAGATCCACTATCATTTACAGAAAATTTTAACCTGCTACTTTCTAGGCATTTTGGGGGGGGGGGGTTCCCTCTCTCTCAGGCTTTTATTTCAAAGGAGCATAATGTCACCTACCAGGGGAAACAGTAATAGCCCAAAACATGCTCATCTGGAAAGAAGATAAGCCCCTCTTGGCCCTTCAAGCTCTGGGGGTTAATGTGGATGACCTATACCATGATGGTTTATCCAGTTGCCTCTCCGAAGTATAAAGGGCTAGTATGGGTAATTGTAATAATAGATTTATATGCCTCCAAGAAAATTTGAGTGTGTCTGTTGTCCACCTTTCTTTGGCACTGTGAAGTGTTTACAAGCATTTTCCTTCTGCAGTTGTTCAAATCTCATGGACCAAAAACGTTACATAAAATGTTTTCGTAAATCCATCCCAGAATACCACTTGCGCTTTCTGCAAGCGGATTCTCCCATTAATTAACGTGAAGTGTAGGAGGCACTTTATCCATTCAGGACCTGCAAAATCTTGTCTGGGGTGATAAATACAAGGATTCCAGGAGAGTTTTCCATGCTTTGCCAGCAACAAAGGAGAGGACTGGGATGGGGGATGGGGTGGGGGAGTCCAAATAGCAACAACCGTAACAGCTGCCCCCCCTCCACTTCTACCAACATGGCCTCCCCCTCCCTTTGCTGCTGCCTATAGAACAGATTTCCTTTTTATAACCTGCCCTCTGTGCTGTGCTTTAAATAGAAAACGCCTGTATCTCCTGCTCCTGCTGGCAGTTCAGGATCATGAAGTGGAACTAACTCGCATTTATTTTAACCTTAGGTACTAGACCAGCCCTTGCTCAGCTCCATTTTGGACAGAGCTGAGTGTCACTAGCACTGCAAAAACAACACATCTGCAAAGGGATGCTGAGGAGATAGAACAACTATGACCTCTGATTTAATATTTTGGCTATGCTTCCCTCTCCCTCCCTCCCTCCCTCCCTCCCTCCCTCCCTCCCTCTCTCTCTCTCTCTTTTGCAAACATTTGCTTCTGTCCCATTGTCTGCTCTCTAATGAAAGACAAGCTCCTCCAATAATCCCCAGGGTAAGGAGGCTTAAGAGTTCATTGCACTTTTACTGGGATGATTAAAATGAAAGATTCTTGTTCTTGATTTTTAAAGCAAAGACAAGTTTCTGGATAAGACCTCTTAAGTTACACCTATAAATGCAGATATGTAAATCAGAATTACAGCTGGTCCTTGACTTACAAGCATTATTTAATTACCATTTAATGACTCATGACCAGTTCTCTCACTTATAATGGTTCCAGCATTCCCAAAGTCACACAACCAAACTTCGGATGCTTGGCAACTGACGTGTATTTACAATGGTTTCAGTGTCATGGGGCCCTGAGGTTGTCATTTGCCATTTTCCTAGAGAGCTTCTGATAAGCAAAGTTAATGGAGGAAATCAGATTCACTTAATGACCGCATGATTAACTTAACAACAGTAGTAATTACAACAACAACAAGTAGTAATTCTTGTAACCATGGCAAAAAAGGCATAAAATGAGGCACAACTCATTTAACATCTGTCTTGTTTAGCAAAGGGGATTTTGGGCTCATTTGTGGCTATAAGTCGAGGACTATCTATACTTTAGACTAAGGCAACCATCAATTCTGGAGGGAACAAAAAGTGCAGAGTTTCTGATATAGTAATCCTTCTCCCCAAATATGGTCAGAAACTTGACAAGACGTAAGTACCGGACACAAATTACAGAAGAGAAGGAATAATGATCACCCTGCTTCTGATCATCAAGCAAAACCTAATGTATAATACAGAGTCATGTTACACAAGCTTTAATATCACAAAGAAAATACAATAATATGTAAAATCAGATTAAATTAGGTCCTGAATGTGTCATGATTCCATGATTCTAATAGGGGGTCTCTCTCAGTATTGTGAATGCAGCTCCCATTATTTCCGACCACCCCCAGCCATGTTGACTGATGCTGCCAGAGTTATAAGAAAATAAAATTAAAAAAAAAACAATTCATTCAGTTATCCCCATTTCTCACAGATTAAACATAGACCAAGTTTTCTTCTTGTGCTACAACTGTTCATCAATCCAAGACGTTTGTTTCATTAACGATTATTTCTATATTATTCCCCTTTTCTATGTCATCTCTCCTTTCCTTATTCCTCTCTGCCCTCCCTCTCACCCTCACCCACAGCTGTGAGTTCATTTCATCTTCTGCTGTTAACTATACTCCATGGATCAGATGAAGTGGGCTGTGATCCATCAAAAGCTTATGCAATAAGAAACTACTTTGGCCATTACATGATATACGGTAAGCACATTTTGTTATTTTTGCCACCAAAAAAATCCAAGCACAGCTACTCCTCTAGAAACATTAGGAGGGAATCCTCCTGGACCATAATATGGTACTATCAGGATATTCTGAGCTGTAGCTCACATAATTCCTAGCTAGCATGGTCACTTCTTCTTTGGCTAGAACTACAAGTTGCCTGAGGTTGAATAATTCTGTTCAGTTTAGTATTCTTTGCACT